TAAGGGTTTTTTGGCGAGCCAAACCACATCAAACCCGGTTAGCTCGAGTTTGATTGTGTTAAGAGTTTGAGTTAACATTTGACAGAACTCGCAAAAATTCTTTTGGTTTGGATATCTAATCAATAATAAAATCGTAACCTATAATCTATGATAGTGCTCGTAGCTCAAGTTGTTTGATTATTTCTTATATACTATAGTTGTTATTCCTAATCTGAAATGCACATCCATGAAATAACGTTAATGTATAGATGGTTATTATATCAAAATGGGTTTACCTTGTTCACAAATATTATCTATTTCAACGTAAATGTATCGTCTAAAAGGAAGTTAATAAAGATCTATACAGTACAATATAGAAAATGCATATCTACGATTAAAGTTATTTGGATCCTCGATTACTTATACCTATCCAAACCTCTAAAACTTATACCTATCCAAACCTCTAAAAAAACGAAGTAGTGACTAGGTACGATGGTACGAAACAGAAAATAAATAAACAAAGATAGAAATATTAACTTAATATCCAAACCGACCCACAAGTCCGGTTTGATGGTTAGGCAAACTCTGCCAAACCGGGTTAACTACATTTCTCGCCAAAACGTCAAACCTCAACAAACTATAGTTAACCGGGTTAGCGGTTTTCTCGCCATAATCTTTCCTACCTATGAAACTTAATTTTTTCCTCACTTAATAGTCTTTTTACGTAATTTATAGCTGCGCACTATTGCACCATAGTTTATAATACTACAAAAATTCAAAGTGCAGTAATACACGCAAATTTAAAATGAAAACTTCTACAAAAGTATTTGCACGTATTTGTCTTCCTTCCACACATCATGGCGATTGGCTCTCTTTCTAGGGTTCATCCATTATTTACAAGGTCTATGCTATCTATGGTACATATTATGTATAGATTAGGGATTTGCGAAGATTCACTCCAAATGCTCAGATCACTATATTTGTCCTTATTATTCTTATGGTTTTGGAGAGAGAAAATGAGATATCTAGATCACTACGAGTTAATTAATAGATAATAGAATATAGAGTTAATTTTCGTAAACCCCTTTATACTCCGCGGTCGAAATTATAGAGAGTGACTCGTCGCTAGCTTTTGGATTACGAAGAGGGATGAAGCGTGCCGGGAACAAAAGAAAATATTGAAAAAGGTAATAAAACATAACATCTAATATTTTTTTTTCGGTTTGCTATAACCGGCACATTGACCCATTTTAATTATTACAGCATTTTAAAACGTCCCAATTGTGTTTTTTTTTAATTTATAAATTTATTATAGCCACGGAATTAGACCTCTCGTCTACGCTTATGCTATGACGTTTCTCAGGACGGGTAATTCAAGTCTGTTTACACCCACTAAAAAAGCATTTCCCTATTCCCTACCAAGTGCAAAAGACAGAGATAGAAAATAGATCGACGTTCAGTGTAACTCAGTCTATAATGTAGATGATTATAGAATCGATGATAGATTCTATCGACGTGCGTAGCGAGCGGCACAAAGATAAATAATATTGAACCGTTATAAAAATCATTTTATATTTTATACGCGTAATGGTAATAGTGTTTTTATATTATGTCTGAGTCACTCTTTATAATTTCGACCGCGGAGTTATATATAGAATACACAAACAAATCAAAACAGCAGTTGGGCATACAAATATTACGACCAGTTAAAAATATGAAGTTCTAAGATGTATTTGTGTATGCACACATTGCTTATTTCGACTTGCAATTTCCATCTATCTACGAAATTATTTTTTTTTAAAGAGTTCCTCTTTCACACTTGTGGTTGTCTATTTGTTTGTAAAACAGAAGAGTAGGTATCTCTTCTGCAAACATATATCAGCGTCACTTTAACATTATACAGGGTCGGAATGTCCCCATGGTTCATCGGCCGTTACGTGAGAGCGATAAAGTAAGTCATAGAAATCCATGCGATAGAGAAGGATGGCTATAATGAAGGCGTTTCATAGTCACCGCCCGTTTCGCCCTTCCACAAATAAGATCCACTTCCACTTGTAATTCAACGATCGGTGGTAATCTTTGTTTTCGTCGTTTGCCTTTTCTGTAATAGATGTCATTACTTATACAATTCCGACTTCGTATTCCGATACGTTAATACAATCCGTTAACAGAGGGCAGCACAATTTATCTAAGGTGAGGCGCAGCCCTAGAAAGAGTGATGCCAGATCTACAGATTTTTTTGGAATTGGGGAAATAGGGAATTTTGCTTTATTTCTTGGGATTTTTAAGTCATTTGATGTGTACGCATCGCTGTGATTTCGATAATTAGACGTTTTATCATGGGCAAGTGTATTGTAAACATTGTATAAATATGTACAAGTGATCGAGTTGCTGAAGAGAAGCGAAAAGTTCCCTTCTTTAGGTAAGTAAAAAAAAGGAATATATAAAAGGTAAATATGTACGCCATTTTTCGGTTGACGTCACAAGTTTCCCGGGTTAGCTTTATAATCTTGTTCGCCCACATAGTGTAGTGATTAACGTGATATTGTTATTATAAAATAATTAATGAATTTCTGTAAAATATTTTTGTAATTATTTACTTTATGCGAGTCTCAAGTTTCTATGAAATTTTACCAATTCCCGTCATTTCGAGATAGCTGAAAATTAATAAAATATTTTTTTCAATTGAAAAAACCGCAAACAAAACTAATTTCAAATTCATGTTCAATACCCTGGAAAAGGAGAGTTGGCAAAATGTAATTAGAAAAAATCAGGGAGTTTTGTGACAAAAAAAATAATTAGCAAGTACATTATAGTATATATTGGCGGTTTCGTAATAACAAGTTCTCTAATAAAGCCAATAAAATGTGAAGACTTGTAAATAGTTTAATGTCAAATACACAGTATTCGTACAGTCGATTAATTTTTAATAAAGATCGTGGTTGTTTGAGGTATCCATATCGAGATGTCGTAGTAATATGCCAAGAAACAGAAAAATTAATATATTTTTTTAATAATGATGAAAGCAGAACAGCTAGGCTATAGAAAAATAAAATTGTTTATCATGTACCTAATAAAAAACTCTGAATGCGAACATATTTGAAAATTTGCATTAACATCAATTTGATAATTTGCCTAACAATTGTAATCATTTAATGTAACTTGTAAGGGCTTGAATGTGAAAAGTATATCGATGTACGAATAAATCATGAAGTCAAATTATTTAATTCGGTAAAATCTACGAAAAGGCAAATATTAAATAAATTAATATTATTTAGAGGACAATAAATATATTTAAATTATTTTGTAGTTTTATTTAATATGACACTAAAATATACTATTTTCTGAATTACAATCTTAAAATTGAATATTTGTCATAAGATGCAATATAATAATGTTTAATATGTAATAAAAATATTACTTAATCCGGATCTGCTTAAAGATGCGCGCGATCAGATTGCCTTCCACACTCCACTTCCCCGGATTTTGCATTCACTGGTACCCGTGCATTGGAATTAGATACGGCCAGTCTAGGTGGTCTGTGGTATTAACATATCGGAATACCGAAGTCGAAATTGTATACGTAGTGACATCTGTTAAAGAAAAGCCAAACGAAGAAAACAAAGATGACCACCGGTCGTTGCATTACAAGTGGAAGTGGATCTTATTTGTGGAAGGGCGAAACGGGCGGTGACTAGTTATTATTTAAGTATACTTTTTAAAATGACTTAAAAATCCCAAGAAATAAAGCAAAATTCCCTATTTCCCCAATTCCAAAAAAATCTATAGATCTCGCATCACTCTTTCTAGGGCTGCGCCTCGCTTAGATCAATTGTGCTGCCCTCTGTTAACAGATTGTATTAACGTATCGGAATACGAAGTCGGAATTGTATAAGTAGTGACATCTATTACAGAAAAGGCAAACGACGAAAACAAAGATTACCACCGGTCGTTGAATTACAAGTGGAAGTGGATCTTATTTGTGGAAGGACGAAACGGGCGGTGACTATCAAACGCCTTCATTAGAGCCATCCTTCTCTATCGTACGGATTTCTATGACTTACTTTATCGCTCTCACGTAACGGCCGATGAACCATAGTGATTTTCCGAGCCTGTATACATCGATTGGTTATCGATTTATTCGTCTTTAATTTGATTTTTCATAAATTTTTCCAGTTCTTCCTTTGGAATAAGGTAAAATGATAGGTTCATGTTTTGATACGTACGTAGTACGTATTCTTTGCTATGCGGCACTCAATAGTACCTAAAATAAACTGCTATTTACATTTTTTCCTAGAAAATTGAATATCGTCATAAAATCTATAAAATGTTCATAAGGAATATTTTGTTGCAACGTTGGCGAGACTGCTCATTTCCTTATCTGAGTTATCTATGCCCTGACAACCCCGTCACAGAAGATAAAACAATCTTCTGTGACTGTGGCCTGTGCATGCCCGAGGTAGTCTATGGTGTCTGTGAAAGTGACGTACTTAGTTCGAGAAGTAAAATTGCAAAACAAGTTTAATTTTGTGCATTTAGATATTACAAAACTTAAACGAGTTAATAAAGTATTTCTAACATTCTTTGTGTAACAGACATTTAGTTATTAATAATTAAAAGTAAGGGAAAATGCCGAAACCGCATTTCGAAAATAAACAGACGTGGATAAAACATGGTAAATGTGACATAGTTTTCTTATTTAGATATTAATAAATATTCATTCATTATTATGCATTATACATATTTTAGATCGTGAACGAGATAGAGATCGTAGAGTTACATTCAAACCAAATCGATTTGGAGGTCAAAAGAATCATAATAGAGATTGGAGTAATGCTATACGTGAACATTTACAAGATGAGGATGTTGATATGGGGGTTAGTTCTGGGTCTGGTAGAAATTTTATTAACAAGAAGTACAACAAGGGAAAGAAAGGGAGGAAAGGATCACCTATACCTAATAGTAGACGAAAATTATTAGAAGGTCCAACTAATTGGTATAAAGTTTCGGTAAGTACTTAATTATATAAGTATTATTAATATAAACAGTGCCAACACTGAAGCATAGTCAAAAGTCATGTCGCTAGATTAAATAGCCTAACAGTACAGTAGAACCTCGATAATCCGTCCCCTACGGGTCCAGGAGCATGGACGGAATGCAGAAAAGTTTTGGATTATTAGAGGAACATTTTTATTGACCCGTAACATCACGATACAGTACAGTATGTACATATAACTTTAATTTTCAACTGGAAATAGCATAGGTACTGTCTAAAATATTGTTCCATATTAAAACAATAACATCACGTGAAAGAAACAATGTAAGTGAAAGTATAAGAACTATATATACATACCTTATGTATAAATTACAGTATGTACATTATACTGCATTGACACACAACTGATTTGCTCTTAACTGTTTAAAACGTGAGAAATCATACGGTAAAAAATGTTCTGTTCTTAAGCAGGACAAAAAAGTGTGTAATGTTCTTTTGCTTAGCAGATGACAATACGATCTTCCAGAAATGGAATGGTCGGACGAAGCAAGAAGTTGGACTATCCGAGATCCAATTAACGAGGTTCTACTATAATGCGTAAAAAGTCCCAAAATTAATTATGTGTATGTCTAAAACATTAAAATAAAAGTTATGTATTGTGTACATATATTTTGCTACTGAGCTATTTTGGGAAAAATTTTTGGTTTGTGAACTAATGATAACGTGGGAAACAACTACTTTACGTGCGGTGTTATTAACTTTATCGATACACAAATCCTTAGAGTCATGTGAAAATATCTGTAAAAGTTCATAACACAAAATCTGTAAAAAACCTGTAAAAATTCAACATGAAAGTCTTGGAAATTATTCATTGTCCTCCCCCTGAGGTTAACAACCATTGTTTAACTTAAAAAAATGCTAAAATATTCTAGTTTGTAACGCTGGAACTAATAGTGATAAATAACTGTATTTTTTTAGCCGAGATATCAGTTAGTCTCATGTAGGTAATTGACCAAAAAGCATTCAGAATAATTGAAATTAGCTGTGGTCTCAGATAAATAAAACATAGCTAATTTACCATTGATGTTATTAAAGATTGGTCCTGGATTTATTAGTTGCCACAAATTATAACTATGTATCAAATTGCTCCTCTTTGTGGTACTTTGTATTACACTTAAACTGGATAGCTTCCTAACCAGTGCTGGCAACTGAAATCGGTTTTTTGGATAGTCGGTTAACCGGTTTCGGATAATTCGGATTTTTATGAAACCCGAAAACCGGTTATTCGATTCTTCAAATATCCGATTATTCAAATAACCGGTTATTCAAATAACCGATTCTTCAAATAACCGATTATTCGATAATCTGTTCATTCAAACATCCGAATAATCGGATTCTTTCTTTATAGTCAGTAACTATATAACACTAAGACTAGTGTTATGTAGTTATTGACATTAGCTACATAGTACATACATAGTAGTACCTACCACAAAAATTAGGTTGAACTATTAAGGGAAATACAATTTATTTTTATTTTTTATCCTGAAACAAGGACACAAGGATAAAAAAAACACACACCCACACACACATACACCAAACGACGAAACCCATTTATATAAATAATAAATTGAAGAACCACAGTTTATTAAGTGTAACGGTTTTAACAATTTTAACATTTTAACATTAATTTTAACTTTAATATTTAAAATGTGTGAATATGTGATTAAAATGTGCGAATATGTGAATAACATATCAGTCAGTTTTTCAAAACTCCGATTTTTAGATATCCGGTTTTTGTCATTATTCGAGTAACCGGTTATTCAGTTATTCGAATAACGGGTTTTAGAATATCCGGTTTTAATCACTATTCGGCTATCCGGTTGTATCTGAAATCGGTTTTCACGGAACCCGGTTAACCGGTTTCACTTTTTTACGGTTTTTGCCAGCACTAATTGAAAGTCGACATTTTCGTTAAATATTCAGTTGACAAAGCGATTCTTTTTTGTCACCTAGCTGCAAAATACTTTTATTGTTCTAGAACGCCAAAGCCTTTTTCGTTCTAGAATATAAAACACATGTCAAAATAATTTTTCATTTTTTCGAAGCTTATTTATGATTTTATTAATTAAACAATATACCTAGATTTTAAGTGATATAACATTTCAATACAAGACAATAACTATTATAAACAGAACGAGTATAATTTATTTCGCACTGCATGTAAATTGAAAGTGCCGATATTGCAGTGAGTTAAATTTGTGTCAAATCCAGTGCTGTCAGTTATCGTAGCTTTTAATTCTGGGTGTTCAATGAGGCTGCTGCTGTAATTGTTTAAGTTTACTGCACACGTATTATTGGCAAGTTCCGTAGGCTCTATTTTTATAGAATCATCTGTACAGGGTGTTTCAGGATTAAGTCGACAAACTTTAAGGATATATTCCTCATAAAAAATAAGAAATAGATCAAGTATACATTTTTTTCCAGAGTCGCTTCATTTTCGNTCATCCGCTTTCTCATTTCCACAAATGCCTTTGTGCCCTGGCACCCAACACAGTCTGACTGTATTGTTGGTGGCCAGTTCAGTTAGCATTTGTAAACAGTCCCACACCAGTTTTGAACTTACCTTGTGTGCGGCTAAAGCTTTAATTGCAGCTTGACTATCAGAGAATATATATATGAGTTTACGTTTATAACCTCTACGTACATTCTCTGCCAGACACGCTATTATCGCGAAAATTTCTGCTTGGAATGCGGTAGGGAACTCCCCCAGACTGTAGCTTGCACTCCATCTGGATCTTGAGTCCATATATTCCTGCACCTGTCCCTCTGGTCATTTTGGAGCCATCTGTAAACCGTACTAGGCTCCACCTTTCCAAGGTATTAAACCTTTCCTCCCATTTGCTTTGATCCTCTATTCGAGTCTCAAATGGCTTGTGGAAGTGAAACCTTGGAACCATCTTGTCAGATACCATCCCAAAAGTTGGTTCCTACATAGATGTGTTTATGATCCTGGAATAGGAACTACCCCTTCAGTTGTTGTTATTCTTGAGTTGATATGCTGCTAACCGCGCTTCTTTTTCCACCACTATATGCAGCGGTGGTAGATTTAGCATGACTTCTAGTGCAGCTGTCGGGGTTGATGCCTTCGCCCCCGTTATACCTAAATAGGCCAATCTCTGAATTCTATTCAGTTTTTCCCTCGCTGTGGTCTGCTGTGTTTTTTGCCACCATACCACAGCGCTGTAGAGAATCCTAGGTCTTACTATCGACGTATACAACCAGTATGACATCTTTGGTTTCAGTCCCCAGGTGCTCCCACTTCGTCTTACTCACCACTTTTTCCAAGTGCGCATTTCAGGTAAGCTTATTATCCAGTATCACTCCTAGATATTTTACTTCCCTGGAAAGCCTAATGCTCCTCTCCCCTATTATAGGTTCAGAAGGTCCAATTAAATTCCTTCTCCTGGTGAAGGGTACTACAACCGATTTGTCAGGGTTTACTGACAGTGCCTGCCCCTTACACCAGTCATCTATCCATTTCAAAGCCACTTTCATGAGTTCTGACATGATAATATTATGTTTCCCGACTATGAGAACGACTAAGTCGTCCGCATAGCCTTGTGTATAAAATCCCTTTCAATTAAGGCCCTCCAGTGCACCGTCCACCACTAATCCCCATAACAAGGGATACAGTATGCCTCCCTGGGGGCAGCCTCGGCCTACCTTACACTTGGATGTCTCTCCCGAAAGGGTAGTAGTTGTAGGTTAGTACATAATGATTTTCGTATCACATCGTATCATATCCTATCGTATCTTCATAGTACAAATTTGCTTTTAAACTGAAAATGCTTAAAAATTCTAAACCCTACTTTTTCAAAATAATTAGGCCTGTAATAGTATTTTACGTTACAAGTCCGGTAGGTGACTTATTACATTACGAGTTGTTTTACGGACGAGGCGACGTAGGAGCCGAGTCCGGAATAAAAATGAGTACTGCAATAACACCTAACGGCCGTGTATCGTATGATATTTTATTTCATACTGTCTTTCTATTTTTAACGAGCAGAAATTTCTATTTTTTCCTTAAAATTATCAAATTTTTGTTTGACATCGCTTTATCTGTCATTTTATAATATTGTTTGTGACATGTCTAATATCACGTTGCTAGGCAACATTTACCGGCTCTGATACTGTAATAGCTCACTTACCGGCCGCAAATGAATTTACCGGTTCTGATACTGTAATAGCTCACTTACCGGCTGCAAATGAATCCGGGAAATAGCAATATACCGGACAGTATGAAATAAAAAAATATACCTATCAATTTGAAAACAAAATATTTTTATACTGATTTACTGATTTTTAAAAACTTTTAGTTGTTGATGTCCTCAACAACGTTGTCTTCATGAGAATTAAAAACATTTAAATCTGCAGGATCCATTAAGTAGTGCACAAAAATAGTCAGTAATATAATACAAAAAATATTATATTAGAATTTATCCAGAATACACAAATACAAGATACAGGTTAGAGGTTATATACTGCCAAACAAACACAGACCAACCAGACCACCTGCCAAAGAATAATGGGAGTTGCAGACCAATAGAAAGCGAGAATAACATTATTCCAAGTATATCTAGTGCAGTTCGGAGATATAAGTTGTTCCCTAGTTTATCCGAAATATTAACTTATACCGTGATTGTAGAATGCAACATTTTAACAATGTTCTTATATAGCCTTATTCTTGATTTATATTTGCATTGTAGAACTGGCCCTATGCAACACAAAAAACTTATACAACATTCATGTTTTACAAGTTATTTTGTAAAAGAAACTTAAAATAAAAATACTATATAGGTATTTGGAATTTTAGTTATTTCAATAGTCTTGTTAAAAATGAGCAGTGAGCACAGAAACCGTGGAACACAGGTTGAGAGGTTAATTCTCTTCATTGGATTGGCTAAGAAAGGATGAACATAGTTCTGAGTTATATATTCAGTTTGACTGGGTACATACATAGAACTGGGGAATCATCATGATCGTTCAATCACAGAAGTCTGTGTGGCTTAGAATCTGGGACATTCACAATCATCAAATTAAATTGAGAATAACAACATACACATATTTACTAAAAAATTTGTAGATTTATTACATTTATCATAAAATCGGAGGTCATGTCAAAAATCCGTAGATCTAGGGATAAATCCGTAGCATTAACAACATTCCCAATATCTAGTAAATAGCTAAAATCATTCATTAGGAGAGGCATCAGACATAGACTGGTTTTGAACGTATTGGTGTTCATCAATTCACCATAGGTGAGACGACCGACAAATAATTTAGCTATTTCAATGTCTATCTATAGATTTGAATGTTGATGAGGTATAACCTACAAAGCATGCATATTTTATATCTTTAAACATTAATCTTTAATTTGGCAGTACATGGATGGAATGTAGAGAGAGAGGGTAACGAGCCAAGATGTAAAATGAGATAAAACCGAGGATAAAACTAATGCACGATTTGTCATATCTAAGTACTTTATATTTCATATATATGTAGTCCTTGGTTGTCCGTGTTTATTTTAATGGTTGTATTATTTTTTCTGTAAATTTATTTTGTATTTTTATGTTTTCAACTGTTTTTGCATTATTTCTGTCGTATATAGTGATTTAAAGAGTTAAAGTAAACGTAAAATTGTTACATGATGTGGTGTTAGGATCTTCCTGAAACTGTAAGAGAAGTAGTTTTTCCTTACGATTAACATCTCGTTAATGTACAAATTGAATGAGAATGTAATTTTGGGTTTCCTAAAGATAAAGCCATGCATTTTTTTTTGTTTATGTACTTAGTCGCCGCCAGTTACAAACTTACATTGCACTTCATTAGTCTTAGTTAGAAATCTTTGACCTGCTGTTGTTAACCACAAGCTAGGCTCTAGGGGGTCATACTCGCTATAAGAACCCTTAAGTCGCCTTGATGTTTATTTTACTTCTTGGTTGTAAGGCGGCTATGGACAGGCTCAGGTAATGGTGTAGCTGATCGCATCCAGTACTTTTAAACGTTTCTCACTGTTGGCATCTTCAGTGATAACTCTATAGTACTAATAGTACTAATGTCATCTGTGATGCAAGCATGGATATAATTCAATACCAGCCAGGGCAAATAGCTCCTGAAGAAGTTGTATCCCACAATGTTATTACTTTACCTGCCTGGTGAGAAGCAAGTCATGTTTCCTTAACACCTTTGTAGGTCACTTTTTGTCAGTGACATATGCTGTGATTGCTTCGTAGGTTATATCTCACCAATACCTACAGTCTTGTGCTAGAAGTAAATAGCTGAACATAAATTTTAATATATTTGCAGATTCCGCATGGAGATAAATATGAAAAAAGTTTTCTGTTAAAAACATTATTGGAGAAAGTAACCCCTTTACCATTTTGGCCCATAGCGGTAAGTTAATACATTCAATGTAAAAACATGATAATTATAGGCATTTTTCAGTGGCAAGTGTACGGAACAACAAGCACCTTTTATGTTGACGATTATAAAATTGCTGAAAAACTTCTTAATTTAGATCGACAAATACAGTTACCTAATGGATTTCGACTCATTATTCGAGTACATCCTGGTTCACCTAACGTCGATATGAACTCGGCTACAAAAGAAAAAATGAAACTCGTCATGGCTAAACGTTACAGTGCAGGAAACAAAGCATTGGACCTGACAAAATTCCATGCAGATCCAGAATTGCAAGATTATTTCTGTGCTTTATTCAAACCAATAGTGTTTTTAACCGTAGTTGAAATTATAGCGGAGAATATCCCAGAATTAGAAGCCCTTAATTTGTTTGATAACAAAATTTCAGTATTAAGTTTTCTGAAGAAATCTATGAAAAAGATACCTAATTTGAAGATTCTACACATGGGAAACAATAAGGTAATACTTGAATATTTTTAAAGTCCTTTCTTTTGTGGGATACCCTGACCCTGTATAAAATATCCTCATTTGTAGTTGAGAGAAATGGCTCAGTTGGATTCACTTCAAGGGCTCCCAATTATAGATCTAGTCTTGAACGGAAATCCGCTTTGTGACAAATTTAAGGACCAGGCGTCTTATATTAGGTATGATTCTAATTCACCTTTATAATCTGGGTTGCTTCTAAGTTATTCAAAAGTGCTTGTTCAGATTTATGAATAAGAGATGTGGATGTAATATTAATACAGCGTGATGCTGTTAAGAGGTTGTGTTTAGCATCACTTAGAAGTTGCCCTGATTTTAAATAATGGAAAATACATAAAGCTAACTAAGCAGTTTCCTTCTTTACTCTGTCTGTGATACATGAATCATTTAGTTCCAAAACTGGTCATTTACGTTATGTACAATGAAAATAGAAATGGAGAAATCAACCGAAACATTGAAAATTCATTGAATATGAAACTGTCATCACTAAGTTAGCAACAGTGTTTAACATAAGGTAGACTTATGTTGCACAACAGGCAGCTGAAAAATACAGTATATTGTAGAGCTGGCAACTGAAATCGGTTTTTTGGATAGTTGGTTAACCGATTTCGGATAATTAGTATTTTTACGAAACCAAAAACCGGTTATTTGATTCTTCAAATATCCGATTATTCAAATAACCAATTATTCAGATTATTCAATAGTCTGTTCATTCAAATATTCGAATAATCGGATTTTCTCTTTATAGCCAATAACTACATAACACTATAATATCTCTTAATGTTATGTAGGTATTGACATTGCCTACATAGTACATACATAGTAGATACCTACTACAAAAATTAGGTTGAACAATTAAGGGAAATACAATTTATTTTTATATTTTACCCTGGGACACAAACACAGATTGATAAAGAAAAACAATCACCCACACCCACATTCACCAAACACCAATTGACCAAACCCATTTATATAAATAATAAATTGAAAAATAAATGACTAATTTTTCCATCTGATAATCTAAAAATAGAAATTTGTTCGAAATGCAGGTTTGTGAAATGATATTTATATATTTGAATATGAAAAACAAAAAAAAAGTAAGGGTATTCGAAGAACTATTGCCATATTATCAAAACACTACTTACCTTTGCCTATGTTTAGATTTTTATAAAATCGTAAGTGGTGTTTTATAATAAATTAAGGGAAATATAATAATAAAAATATGAAGTATTAGAATGGTACACAGATAGAAAAAGTTCAGTTTTGTAGTATTATTCTATAATCTTACACATTGTTGTAAATTTACATTGGTAAAAAAACACCATAAACTTTAATGTAAGAGAAATATTTACGCAGGCATGATTATTTGTTTGTCTATTGACAGGTTTTTCAAATGAAGTTTAACTACGATTTAACTAACCAAATTTGGTTGCTAAGGTATGTTTGGCTGCTGCTAAGGATTTAAGTTAAATCCAGTTTAAATTCCTTTTGATAAAATAATATTAACTAAAAGCAATGGAGTTGTGATTTCACATCATTTACAGTTGTTAAAGAATATTACAAAATAGTACTGCTGTGGACAATACAAAGTTGGAAACCATTTTATGTCAACAAATGTACCACTAACTCCATATTGAACTAGAAGTTGTTTTTGTATTCAAAAGAAAAAATCAAATTTCGAATATTTTTTTATTAAATATTTTATTCTTTCTTCAGTAAACCTGCCTAATGCCTATGTTGTAAAATTTTAAATATATATTAATTTTATATATATGGATATCAGTATTATTTAGTAGAAGACATTTAAATAATAACAGTTCTTTTTTAAAAATGCCCTACAAAAGCTGTATTTATTAGATTATGTAAATGAAGCTTTAATTAAAGAATACTCATTTACAAAAGAATATTGATAGGAAATCATAGTTTCTGTATGGGAGGGATTGTCATTAATAATAATTAATATTGTTTCTCATGTATTGGACACCACATTACAAATAAATAAAATTTAGAAAAACTCATTGCTATTTTGTGAGAAATTTGGAAAAAAATATATCAACATCAAACACATAACACAGCATACCGATACTAAGCATGCAAGATCTTTTGCTTACAACCACCAGAACATCTCTTAGAACTAAGTTTCTAGAGATGAAATATCTGCATCTCCAAACTCTTATCAATGAAAGAGAAACTGCTCTGCTGTACCATGAGATACTAGTAACAGTAAGTCCTTCAAGAAAGAGGGAGAAACGTGTGATGGAAAAGTTTTTCACAAAATGCAACCGAAATTTTACTCAATAAAAAAAATATTTGCAAAAATTGGTGTCCAATATATTTTGAAATACAATATTTTTGTGTCTGCTGCAAAAAATTCAAATAACAACCCAAATTGATGTTCCCATATAGAAGCAATAAATTGAAAAAATTGTAATGAAACATATATTCTGTTAAATAGGCTTCATTTATGTAAAAATAAGAGTGAGTAGCCTTAAAATATGTTAATATAAATAAATACAGATACACAAATTTCTCTTAATAATAAAGAATAATCAACAGTATTGAACTAGCACAATAAAAAAAAGCATGTACTCTTTGCTGTTGTATAATTGTTCTTTATTTATAATGAAATTTGTCAAGTTATATTTATATTATTGCCATCATTATATTCACGAAAAGTTCCAGCCCTCTATATTTGGGTTTTTTTGCTATAAAAAAAAGGAAACATTAACAAAAAACCCAATTATATATTCTTTGTTCCAACAGCTTCCAACAGTTAAATTAGATTCAAACTATCAGAAATTTTGGATCACCTAGTAAGTCACATATTTTTAGTGACTATAAGCAGTACCAAATATTTTTGGTAGTTTTAAATTTAAGCATAATTGCTGCGGGGATATGCTATACGAACGCAAAACAACAATATTAAAAATTAAAAAATCGTGTTCTGAATGATACTGTTATTGGTTTTTAATGTTTTCTGCCAAATAATTTGTTTAACATGTTTCGATTTGTAAATCATTTTAAAGTTTACTGAAAAAGAATACAATGTTGTTACCATACAATTCTGATACTTTTGTTTTAGTGGTATATAAAATAACAGCTTTTAGTTTAGTCCTATTCTTTTAAATGACTGAAGAGATGTTATATAATATGTAATATAGGTATATGTCAAAAAGCAGTGTATTCCTAGTCCAAATTTAATATTTGTCCATGAAGTTGTTTTTGAAATTCAGAATATTAAAATTAAAAAAACATCTCTAAATATCATACGAACAAATCAAAATATTAAAATAAAAATGGCAATGAATGGGAAAAAATTAAGGCTTAACTCAAAGCAAACTAGTGGCATAGATATGAGTTACTTTGGTTATATTTTCATTAAAAAAAATAGGAAAAAAAAAACCTAAAAGAATGAAACATTTCTAAAATACATCTAGATATATAACATTAACACCCTCTATTTCAAAAATCAGAAACTTTTGACGTAGTGTTGTGTTACAACCCGTATAAGACAAGGGTGGTAATGGTAATATAAATTTATCTTTTTTTTTTTGGTTGCCGTCAATTAGTATTATAGAACGGTTTTCTTAACATTCTGTGTACACAAAACAAAACTCATTTAACATTTTAAGGTTTCTACAAAAAAATCATTTGACACACCTGTACAGTAGATCAGAAATTAATCTCTCATAAAAATATTTGACACCTAATATTTGTTACTATATTTGTTGTTGATGTAATCTATGCTCTGAGCGAGTGTTCGCAGGATGAATAGTGTATAATACTTGGGCCTCTTGGGCTCCCTTGATTTTTTTTTGTCTACAGCGAAGTTCGGAAGAGGTTCCCCAAATGTATGAAACTGGTAAGTCTATTATTGTTTATAATGCGTATTATGCAATGTAAGTAAACAAATTTAAACTTTTTATTTGTAAAAATGTAAAATTTTTATTGAGTGGTTCATGTTTTTTGTGTAGGGTGAGTATATGTTATATTTTTAAACTTTCTGTTTATCAATTATAATCCAAACTTATATACAGTCTGTAATTGTGAAAAAAGAAGAAAAAAATTCTTGCTAATAGATTCTGCTTGTGTTGAAATGTACTAAAATGTAGTTTTATCCCATTAACCCCCGAGACCATAAAAAGTTAAAATTTTTGGAACGTGTAAATTAAAAAAATATATGAGGTTGAACAAAAAATGTATGGAATGCGTAAACACAATTTTGCCTATATTCAAACACATTCAAACTATTTTTATTTTTGCTAACATAAATTAGTATATATGTTATTCGCAATAGTCGAAATCGCCCACTGCCCGATTTTTTTGTCCGAAACGCGTTATGGATATATCAATTTGCCCACGATGCGTTTAGTGACTTTTTCTTTGAACATTGAGTAAAGCAAATTAACTAAAACGTGTTGTGGGTAAAGTATGTCACCCACAAAGCAAAATAATAAGCTTTTGTTTTGCCTTGTGGGTCATTTCTTTTGCCCATGTCACGTTCTTGCTATTGCTCTTTACCGAGAATGTATGTTGAATAAAACAATGAATACAAAAATAATAAAGCGTTTAAATGTAGTTATCATAGAATATATATCATAAACAAAATCATGCAAAGAAATTTAAAAATAGGGAAGCAAGACCTAAAAAACATTATGTTTTTACAGGAGTTGCTTTTGTGACATTTTGAATTACATTTTACTCGTGTATTTAATTTTATGCATGCTCATGCCTCCGTTTAACATCCTTTCAGGCAATTGCATACATCAAACAGATCCTTGCTTAGACCCAGAAGACAACATTATTTTTTGGCATATGAAAATTCACTAGCACTTACTGAGTATATCTTACCACTAGCGTCTGGTTGAAACTGATAACAAGCAGTCCCGTTACAACGCGTTTGGGGTAAAACGTAATAGCCAGAATGCGATGTGGTCAAAAGAAATGCTCCACAAAGCAAAACAAAAGTTTATTTAGCGTTGTCGGTGACATACTTCACCCATAACGCGTTTCGGACAAAAAAATCGGGCAATGGACGATTTCAGCTATTGCGAATAACATATATGTATTGAAATACATACATTAGTATAGAAATGAAGGTATACAATTTTTTTGGAATATTAAAAAAAAAATAAATAGAAAAAAAGCGTTTATGTACCTTTGGCGGTTAATGGGTTAAGAAGGCTAACATACACTTGGTGTTCTCTAGTTGTACTAGTAATTGTACTAGAACCCTTAGAACTCAAAAATATATTTTCAACGTTGAATGAGGAATACTATTTCTCACTCAACGCTGTTAGTTATGAAACACATAAATAGTCCTTTTCCATCATTTTATATGTCTAAATCAAAGTAGGCCGATTTTGAACTTGGCAATAATTTTGGTTCTAAATTTACTGAAATTTTTTGATATCTACAAAAATGACACTTTACTTGCACAGGAAATATATTTTTTTACTTATTCTTGACAATTCTATATTTCAGAAATAAAAATATGTTACAGATTATTTTGTAACGAAGCAGAATCATTTCCCATAATATAAATCTGAAACTTTTTTTGTCAAGTTTGAGACACTGTACATAGACAGTAAGCAAACATTATTTTTTATTTATTTGAATTGCTTTATTAGGTATGACACACCTAATTATATTAAGAAACGGTTGAATTACAAAAATAAAAACAAAAAAAGTCAGTTATAAGGAAATTTAACAAATTTTCATAATGTAATTTTAGGATGGCATTGATCTACCCCCTCCAATAAGTTTCGATATTGCCGAAGAACACCAGTTACCAGATCCTCAGCAAACATTTTTATGTAACGCTGAAGGCAGCTCTATTATACGCCAGTTTCTCGAGCAATATTTTCTTATTTACGACACAGAAAACCGACAGCCTCTGTTGCAAGCTTATCATGAAAATGCCACGTTTTCTATGACGATGGGATACCCGTATGGTTATGGCAAAGATAAAAATGTGGCCTGGTTGAACTGGTATGCCACAGACAATAGAAATATCATGAGAGTGCAAGACCCTGAGAGAAGGAATAAATTGCTGAAACAGGGCCATTTAGCTGTTGTCTCGTTCCTACAACAAATGCCCCTAACCAGGCATGATATTCACGGCTTCACTGTTGATCTCACTATATTTACAGTAAGTACAATATTGTTTATATTATCAGATGTCTATGTTGTTTTGTTATGTGTTTCGCGATGGGGTTTTATTATATCATTTCTTCTTTTAAAAAGTATTTGAAAATCGAAACTGGACTGAAAAAAGTTGATTTATATGAATGTTATTGCAAACTCTAGCAAAATATTTTTACTTAGTACTGGAATTATTTATAGTTTTCTACTTGATTGCCATTGTATATACAGTGCTTACGTATAGTGTCCCTTTCTTTTAACATAGTCTTACAATTGGTTAGAGAAAAAAATGTGTTAATGTTGGTGAGAATGAAAAGGCAGATTTTGAGATTAGTAATGTATATCTAAAGCAGAGGTCCCCAAACTTTTTTGTCTCGTAGACCATGTGCCAATTTTTCCTGTTTTTGGTAGACCCCTGCCTTTCTAATATTGAATTGTTACGAATTTATCAACTTCAAATGTGCTTTTGATAACTGCCACATTGCAAGTTTTTACAAATTACAAGTTTTGCGACCACAAAGCGAATTGCCTACTGCACAATTTTATGAAACATGCTAATATGTTATTGAGTGTAGTAAATAAAATAATTGTTTACTACGAAATTTATAATAATTCTTAAACAGTTTGATATACAGGGTGTTTCAGAAAGACCTCCCGTAAATTCAGGGGGTGATAGTACGACAAAAAATAAGAATTTTTTGTCTTATGAACTATATGAACCCCAGAATACCAAAATTCATAAAAAATTTTCGCACCGTTTGGAAATTTTCGTAAATTTTATTTTGTTGCTCTGTATCTCGAAAACAAGAGGAGATAGACATATAGTTCATAAGACAAAAAATTCTTATTATTTGTCGTAATATCACCCCCTGAATTTACAGGAGGTCTTTCTGAAACACCCTGTATAAGAAAATAATAACTTAAATTTCAATAACAAAAGTAAGTGTAACAATAATTTTATAAGTAAAATGAAATAGGTTGATTGGACTTAAAATAATATTCTAACAATTAGCAGTAAGTAATTAATTAAAATTCAAAGTAATTAAGTTATTGGTTTGGCCAGTCGACGGAGAATGTTCCCACCATCAATCTCGAATTTTCCCATGATTAAATGGGAGGTTTTTCAACCTTAATTTCCGACTTTTCTGGCTTGATAAAAAAAAATAAAAAAATCTTGTTCCGAAGCAGAAAACCAGTTCCAAATATTGTGTAAAATTTTGGAAGCAATCGTTCGAGCTGTTCTCCGAATATTATGGGAACTGTCTAAATAGTATGTTTCGAGATAGTCATGTTTAAAGTTTAGCGAAGAATTGACACGCTTGGGAACATGGTCACTTGTCAGCTTCTTGGTAAATCGTCCATAACTTTTACAGTTTTTAGAATATCAAGATAACATTTACACAGGATATCTTGCATATTCCAAACTTGAACAATTTTTTTTTGGAAAAATTGATTTTTGTAAACTCATAGTTAAATAATATACAGTGAAAATTGGTTATAACGACCTTCAAGGGACTGTTTGTTTACAGTTGTTATAACCGATAAACGGAATAAGCAATTACATATTGTATTTTATTGAAAATTTATATATGCAGAAAAAATTTATTTATTTATTTATTTATCTTGTTGTGGACAAAAAAGGATTGTATAACAATAGTCAAATAAACATATAATAACTTAACCTANTCTAACAAGAGTACATTATTTTTAGAAAATAAAAGTACATTGGAGAAATTGGAGCCCGAATGCCTCCTAACCTAACCTCAAAAAAATTAGAACTTAAAATGTTATACGAATGTAGCATAACTAGCGCCCTCTATAAAATATACAAAAATAATTAGACTAGCCAAATACGCTAGTGACTAGCGTATTTGGCTAGTCACTGTTTTCATTTCATACTGTTTGGAAATTTTCGTAAAAATTCTATTTAAAAAATTTTATTTTGTCGCTCTGTACCTTGAAAACAAGAGGAGATAGACATAGTTCATAAGACAAAAAATTCTTATTTTTTTGTCGTACTCTCACCCCCTGAATTTACAGGAGGTCTTTCTGAAACACACTGTATAAGAAAATAATAACTTAAATTTCAATAACAAAAGTAAGTGTAACAATAATTTTATAAGTAAAATGAAATAGGTTGATTGGACTTAAAATAATCTTCTAACAATTAGCAGTAAGTAATTAATTAAAATTCAAAGTAATTAAGTTATTGGTTTGGCCAGTCGACGGAGAATGTTCCCACCATCAATCTCGAATTTTCCCATGATTAAATGGGAGGTTTTTCAACCTTAATTTCCGACTTTTCTGGCTTGATAAAAAAAAATAAAAAAATCTTGTTCCGAAGCAGAAAACCAGTTCCAAATATTGTGTAAAATTTTGGAAGCAATCGTTCGAGCTGTTCTCCGAATATTATGGGAACTGTCTAAATAGTATGTTTCGAGATAGTCATGTTTAAAGTTTAGCGAAGAATTGACACGCTTGGGAACATGGTCACTTGTCAGCTTCTTGGTAAATCGTCCATAACTTTTACAGTTTTTAGAATATCAAGATAACATTTACAGAGGATATCTTGCATATTCCAAACTTGAACAATTTTTTTTTGGAAAAATTGATTTTTGTAAACTCGTTAAATAATATACAGTGAAAATTGGTTATAACGACCTTCAAGGAACTGTTTGTTTACAGTTGTTATAACCGATAAACGGAATAAGCAATTACATATTGTATTTTATTGAAAATTTATATATGCAGAAAAAATGAGAAAGAACCCCGTACAAACCTTATGGGAAATGGCTCCCGGTTAATCACAATCAGGCTAACGCACGTAACCCTGGGAACAGCGAATTTAGTCGCTTATTTTTATTGAAATAATTAAATTCCGCACCACGAGCGGGTTAACCCACCTAATCCCTAGAAACCACCCCTGCCAAACCACAATCAGGCTAACCCACGTAACCCTGGGAACAGGGAGTTTAATTATTTTTATTGAAATAATTAAATTTGGCACCACAAACGAGTTAACCCGCTTACTCCCTATCCTACCTAACACCTAGAAACCACCCCTACCAAACCACAAGTAGGCTAACCCACGTAACCCTGGAAACAGTGAATTTAGTTAATTAATACTGATGGAACTGTTCCCAGTGTCAGGTGGGTTAGCCTACTTGTGATGTGGTAGGGGTGGTGTCTAAGGGCTACGTGGGTTAAGGGGTAGGCGGGTTAGCCCCCTTGTGGTGTGGAATTTAATTATTTGAATAAAAATAATCGACTAAACTCGCTGTTCCCTGGGTTAGGTGAGTTAGCCTGATTGTGGTATGGCGGGGGTGGTTTCTAGGGGTTAGGTGGGATTGGGGGTAGGCGGGTTAGCATGCTTGTGGTATGGAATTTAATTATTTCAAGAAAAATAAACGACTAAACTCGCTGTTCCCGGGGTCTGCTTGTGGTTTGGTAGGGGTGGTTTCTAAGGGTTAGGTGGGTTTATCTCGGAACCTGTGAAGTTTTAGACTTTGCACCTAAGAAGACATTTGTTCAGGACGCCAAGATACGTAACATATACGGCCAGAAGAGCAGTGCTTTGGCAATTTTAAGGCCGTATATCACTATTGGTCGTTATAACCGATAGATTATATGGTAAATGTATATAAAAACACGTCGCTAAATCCGAAATGTAGTTGTAAACGGTGTCGTAGTAAATGATATTTTTAATGTGGTATTTCTATAGGATTTAATAGAGACTTCCAAATTCCATCGTTATATCCAATATGTTGTATAAAGCAATGTCATTATAACCAATTTTCATTGTATTATATTGAGAAACCTTTTTTTTTACTTTACCGTTAATCTGTGATTCCTGTGCAACATATTCACCAGTCTTTGCTGAACCCTCCCTTCACGGGTAGCATTGTGAGTTTTGCCTTTGACGGTATGCACACCTTCTGCATCTTCGATTTGGCAGTGCTGATCAGTGTTTCTTCCAGCCTTTATGCCTAATGTGATAAATTGCCTACAACTTCCACAATTATTGAAACTCGAATATGAAATTTACACACAATATTATTAAGACTACAAACTCCTTAGGTTGTTTCAAAGCTGGTCGTTTGGCCTCTTAAAAATCCAGACTATTTTTTTTTACAAGTAGGCAGTACATTGAGAATAAGGAAAAAAGGCATATTTTTCCTTCTTATTTTTACCATTACATTTCCTGAACATTACATGCCTGTTCAACATAATCACACCCTGCGGAATGCTTTTATGAAACTATTAACACATAATTATTCAGTATTTTTGCAAAATTCTTGACTAAACAGGAAAGGTACATTCCGATATTTACGTGGACGCCATGTTTTTCACTGCGAAAAATTAAAGGAATCCTTGTATTTCAACATTTTTTAATTAGATGCATTTTCTTGTTCTATCATTGCCCTACTAAAAATGCAATTTCTTGTCTATAAAACGCCAGCCCTAAGGGTGTAGTGTAAGCAATTTTGCAAAGCAGTTTGTAGACGTTCATGCGTGGTAATTTTTCTCCTTAATAGAACTTCATATTTGAATGAAACAAGTTTTAATAGATTAATAAATGCCTGTGTTTTTAAAAAATAATAATGAAGAATGAGCCCAACCCATATTGTTGCCATAACATTGCCCAAATTTGAAACTATGCTGAGGTACTATTGAACACTATAACAAAAAATTGAAAGCAGGACACTAGTAAGTCTACATAGTCTCAAGTTTCATTTTTTTTTAATTTGTGTTGATAACATCTGTCTGTCAAGAAGTTTCGCCAAATTTCTGCATACAATTGCCTAACTTATATTTATCCCTATTTTTATATTTATTTTATAAAACATTCTCCAGTTATTTGGATAAAACTAAAAACATTGTCAATTTTGCTTCCTTCTAATGGCTCTTGTTAGAAGACTAGAAAAAATAGACACGTCATTAATTTTAAAATGCACCTTTTTCATTCGAATTGACATTCTCATGTGAATTTTTCTCTGACCAAGCTATGACAGAAGAAGGATTACAAATTGGACAGTCCAAATGTTTATTAAATATTATATTCCTCAATCTATGATTTTTTTACAGCCTCAGATGTTGTGCCTGACAGTGTCGGGTATGTTTAAGGAATTAAAGAGTGGCCATAAAATTCCACCAATGAGGTTTTTCATCAGGACTCTTATCATTGTACCTGCGGGTTCAGGTTTCTGTATAGCCAACGAAGTTCTTCATGTTACTAATGCTACACCTGACCAGGCAAAGGTAAATTCTTGTTATCTTTCAGCTGTGTTTACTTTAACTAATTCAAATAAATTCAAATTCCAGCAATAACTGATAAACAGCTAGTAATTAATAATTATCTAATTAGATAATTATGAATATCTATGCCGGGTGGGGCATGTAATCCATAGAGTAGTTGTTTCTGGTTATAATATCAGTTAAAAGTCTTATCAATGAAGTTAGATATTATTTTCATACCTATATTTTTGGTGTTAAAGAATTTGTTTAACGTCAAATAATAATTAATTAACTAAGTTTTTCATGAAGATTTTGTGAATATATTTGAATTAGTTTAATTCCTTTAAAATAGGCTAAAAGTACAAGAGTTAATAATAAAATGTATATTTAAAAAAAAAGTCTTTCAGCTATCTTGTAGTAAATTTAAGCATGTAAAATAAGTTTTTACAAATTTTTGCGGTGTTTTATAAAATTTGTTGAAGGTTTTTAAAATTAGCGTTGTTTAAAAATTGTACTGCTAACTCTTTGTTTTAAATAAAGTACAAAAAAATTATGTGAAATAAAATGAACATAACAAATGTGACTAAATTTTAATATAATTATAGTGTGTACTGTATTTTTCTATTTATGGAAAAAAAATGTTAAAAATAATTAAAATAATTGTTAAAATTGCTTATTTTCACATATAAAAAAATTTTTTTTCAAGTAAAAAACCTTTAAATGACCATCATCAATATTTGAAGGGTACAGGGGAAAAAAGATGAATGTCCAATATTTGCCATTTGTAAATAAATACATATAACGATGCCCTAGTGGCCACTGCTTTCGTGAAAACAATCGTACTGGCAAAAAGAAATGAGGGTTGAAAGATACAGCGTACTTAAAATTTGCCTTACAGGGAAAGAAAAATTAATGTCCCGCCAGTGTATGAAAAACAGATGAATGTCCAACTTGTAACTAGCACGTGTTCTGATGTTGCTCCTGTTAGATTTAGTTTGTCGATCAAACGCCTATACAAACAGTGACAGTTATTTAGAATGTGATCGCAATATGGGACTTATCAATCAAAAGGCCATCAGAATAGAATGCAGAGATCCAAAATGCAAGGAACAAGTTCAATCCAATCGTAGTCATTAATTGCGAGAATTAGAAAACTTTCCAAGCTTGGAATGACCATTTATCAAATTACTTTGTTAAAAAAACGTCCATTTGAAAGTAGTCCTATCAGAGAAATTAAAAGGAAATGTCAAGAATGATGCAGTACCGAGACATAATATAATGGACCTATGTCTATGTCAGTACTCAGTAGTAGTACCACCAAAACGGAAACAAGAGATTTTTGGAATTCTTCCTGAAGGTCAATTTGTAATGCCTAGTTTGAAAAAATAAACAACCCATTGCGATTGCTCTGAAAAAATACGAGAACTTACAAGAACTGAAAAAATTTGTAGTAGCTAGTGCAACATTATTTTGAGGATTTACCATACGACAAGACAGCAACTTAAATTGTGGTGTTGAAGCATCATGTAAATGACATCTCTTTTATTTTAAGTTGTATTTTTATTCAAGTAGGTATTATTTTTACTTATAATAAAAAGTTACGTATTAAAATTCACATTGCTACTCGAATTGTTTTCTGATTCTTTCTCCCTGAGTGATGTGACATTCATCTTTTTTCTCACATTTTTTTGATAGCACGTATTAATTATTGTTATTTTTTTTGAAGTTTCTGCTGGCTCAAATCTACAATATTGCATATTATAACGAGCGTTCAAATAAAAACGTGGTCGAAGTTGGCTCTGACACATTGGACGTAGGGAGTAGCTTATAGCGACCAACTTAACCTCATTTCTCAACGAGCTGTATAGCAGCTGTCAGTTTCAATAACGTTAATGACTATATAACTTTATTTTAAAGAATAATCGTGATAACAATAACAAACAATTAAAGGAGCTGCGGAAAGTGTCCCCCTCCTTGTTATAACAATAAATTAAAGCAGCTGCTGAAAGTGTCCCCCTCCTTGTTCCAAGCACTTTTCACACCTGTTCCTCAAAGAATTAAAGACNAAAAAAAAAAAATTTCACGCGACGGACTCGAACTAGCGATATACTGACTGTCAGTTCCTAACGCTACCTATTAGGCCACGCTCCCAGTTGAGGAGTGTGTCACATCTAGTGGATTTAGCTGTCAGGTAAAACTTCAAAATCGATTATCTCGGTAAATTATGAACGTAGCGTAGAACTACTTCGAAAAATTGTTATTCAAGGTCCAAACTACACATACCATAAATATCAAAAATTACAAAAATCCGACTACCTTACCTGTTAGATTTAATGTCTATCTCTAGACGTAAATTATCAATGCTAATACGGAGAAGAGTTTGTAAAAATAACAAAATCTGTTTTTTAATGGTAAATGGATAATATTGGATACCTGACCGTAGTTTTCTATTTGGATCAACTTTAAATAACGATTGTCGATATTTTAAAAAATAAAGGTACTTTACTCTTGAGCAAAATTTACATTTTTCGACAAACCTCGTATACGACTGCAAAAAATTGAAATCTGATTATTTCATTTTGGATTTTAGGCCATGCAGAACTCTTCATCAAGAATAACTTTTTCTCATAAAACCAAAAAAGAGAAGGAGCGTTAAATTGACGTCCACGGGATGTCGGTTATTCAATTTTGTATTGCGATGAAATTTGTTTGTACAATTGCGGTACAATAATTGTATTAATTCTAAATTGACACAATTATTGAAGTAAAAATTGTAACGTTAGTTTCACGTTTAAATCAACCTAAATACGTCCACTGTAAAATCATCGTAGTGGGAGAGCGATAGTCTCCGCCTCCAGCTGTAACGCCCGTGCACCCGACCCCGCAGCGATACCTTAGCAGTGTACAGAGAACAGACTCTTAATGAATTCTAAAACTTTTAAAACCTGTAAATTTTTTGTTTCCATTAAAAAGTTTGGTGCGAAAGTACGTAAAAAAAGTAGTGACAATGAGAAAGATTTTAAAAGTAATTAAAACACCTAAAAAATTTTGACGCAGTTTGGCGTTTTGGGAAATAATTCTATTTTATTAAGAGGTAATGTCAATCAAGAAGTTGGGAAAAAAGGTGATTTTTGAAAATTTTCAAGGAAAAATCGATACAAGATATAATGTCAGAAACAAAATGGCTTTATAGTTTATTGTAAATGTTTTCATGTATTATTGTGAATATTTTCAAACTATTAAGATTCAAAATGGCGGTTGTAGATGATGACAAACAACAGCACCTTTTATTCAGAGGGCTGTATGGCCGGAAAGGTTTCTTATAAACAGATGGTCTTGGAACAAAAGATTTTTTTTGTTAATTGTTGAACTTGCCACGGAAGCTTTTGGGTTTATAAGAATTTATGAGAGTAGAAAAATAAAAGTAAAACACTTGTCGAGCTCTAACTCGTTTATTATAACGTACAGTTTACTGCTTAGGTACAGCTCTGCCTGCTGACCAATCCACCACTCTACTGCCCCCGACCCGAGGCGTCACAGAACCTCTAGCCTGTGTTCGTTCACCGCACCCTATCTCACCTACATGCAGTGCTCTGCTGGTGTTTACCTATACTAAGCAGAGCGGTACTAACATAACATAATACATTTAAATGAATACACAAAGTTAACTACAAATCGGAGAGGCATAAGCTTTTTTCTTTAACATCTTCACATAATAAAGCATTGGTTAAACCATTTATCCAAATATTGATTTTTTCAAAAGTGTGGCTTGGCCCCTTAAAATATTATTTGAAATGCATTGTCAGGTCCAAAAAAATATTTTTTGTTTGGGTAGGTAAAAATATCAAATAATAATAATAATAATAATAATAAATTGCCTCTCAATTAAAATATAAGTGCACATAGCAGATTTGAAGATAATTATACTTATTAAATATTTGTTTGATTTAATAAATAACATGGAATGTTAAAAGTAGAATCGATGGCCACCAAATGTAGAGCACAGATATTAACTTTAATTCTAAACGTCTAATAATAAGATTATTCTGATCACTTGCACAAAAAGGTCATTTACACAAATGTGGGATATGAGAATTAATATTAATTTTGAATATATTTAGCCAACAAATATTTTTTTAAATATCATATATACATGAAGAAGTCGGTGTACAACGGCAATTTTTTTTTTCCTGACGGCCTCCTTAATTTTGCAACATTAAAAATCTTTTGTTGTTAAACCTATGGTTAAGATGATCTTGAGAACACCTACATAAACTAATGCAAAAAATTAAAGGGTCAAAAGAATTTCCGAAATTTTTCTGTGATTTTTGACAGTGTAGGTGAAAAATGGAATTAAAAAAAAGCAATTTGAAGCTCTAAGATTCTAGTTTTTAGATCTTTCGGTCGAAATTTTTTAGGAGCTAGGGTTATCATACAAATCTAATAGCGCGACCACAAAATTTTGCAAATTTTTATAATTTAATTTTCCTATGACATGTTGCCGCAACTTTTCGGAAACAAATTTTTTTTCATCTTTTATACGAATTTTAAACAACAGGGTAGTTTTGAAAAAAAAAAACAGTTTTATAAGTGATTGTAGACTGTACAAAATTTAATTAGAAATTTGCCTCAAAAAAAGGGTTTGAATCGGAGTTGAAATCTAGTTCTAGGTCATCAACTTTAATTTTAATTTAATTAAAAGTTGATGAACAGAAGCATAGAATGGAAAGCCGAATCGTGCTGGAAACAATTGGATTTTGTTTTCTTCAATGTCCGGAAGATTTTCCAAAAAAACAAAAAAAAATTTCCGACATTTTTTCGAAAAGTTTTGAATTTTTTTTTTCATTAATTTAAACGTTATTTGCGGTAAAAATGTGAGAAACCTCAAAAAAATTTTTTTTCCATTTTAACCATGATTATGAAGTGTTTGAAACAAAGAAACGGTTTGCTAGATCGAGATGAAACTTCACAGAGTTCTTCTGGGTATATCGTGAATATTTCTAATTTAGCCGTTAATTTTCTAAAAAACCATTGATAAAATGAAAAATAAAAGTTTTCTCTCGTTTTAACTTTATTTCTGGACACACTGTACATATACGTTTTTATTTAATATTTTAGGAAGCCTTTAAAACTCCTGTAACGGTAGAACCCGCTCCAACAACTTCAGTTAATATATCGGTGCCTGCAGTGCAAGCCACTCCAGCTGTGCCAGTGCCTGATGATGTTACCAAACAAGAAATGATTCAACAAATGTCCACACATTCTGGAATGAATTTGGAGTGGTCTTTGAAGTAAGTTAAAAATTATTTAATTTATGAAGTTGTTTGAATCCAGTACTAAACGGTGAGCACAGAAATAGTGGTAAACAATCAATCTAGTTGGTGATTTTTAAGAAAATTAAATTTGAAAACTCATTTCTGAACGCCTGTAAACATTTCTTATTTAAAATTAATAATCAATGAATGTTGTAATAAAAACTTACTTTATTAGTAACTAATTTTCAAATTATTAATTATTTGTAGATGTTTAGAAGAAACCCAATGGGACTTCCAAAGGGCTAGTATGGTTTTTCAGCAACTACAATCACAGGGTGTTATACCACCCGAAGCTTTCGTTAAATGATATTTGGAATACATATGTTTTCAAAATTAAAATAATTGATTTATTGTACTTTTTTACTTTTTAAATTATACATTAGTGTTTACTTATATTTTTTTAGTTGTTTGTATATATACAGATAGAATAATCGAATAGTAGCATTTTCTAGTTGTTTATAATTATGTTCGTAGATGAACAACCGAAAGTTAATATTTTCAATTTTTCTGTTTTTAATTTCTGTAGTTATATTTTCACCTTTTTATTTTTGAAATGAAAATTGAAAATATTAATTTTATGTTGTTAACAATGATTTTTATTTTGTAAATAAATGAAAAAATAAAATTATGAAGACATAGTCTTGTACAAAGTTTTGATCATGTTTTAATGAAACTGGTACGTGTATTATTTATTTTTTTAATAAAATAGGTATTTCCAAAACAAAAATAATTTTTATTATTACCGAATGGGGTGCAATGAGATCACGAATTCCAATGTTCTTCCAGTTACTGACTACTCTAATAGGTTTGAATTCATACAAACTTAGACAAAGCTACGTTTATTCATATTACGATTCCTAACTGAACTAATTTGTACGATAAACATTCTTTAGGATATATACAGGGTGTTTTTAAATGAAGTAGCAAAAGTGGTACCAGTGAATGTAGAGTCAAAAATAAGAGGATTGAAGTAAAAAACCGTATATGAATGTTGCACCTCTGAGGCGATATACCTTCTTAAAGGAGGGGATTGAAATTCACATTTGAATTTTTTTCTTTAATATGAGGAATGCTAGAGACACGAAACTTGGTATGAGCATCCTACTAATAAAGAGAGACAACATTTCAATATTTGTTCGATCATTTGCCTATTTTATAAAGGTGTGAAACAGTCGACTCCATTGCAATATTTTATTAGAAATTTTTTACATGAAGCAAATTATTTATTTAAAAATAATTATTGGGAAGACTGATTTATTGCGCAACTTTTTTACCTCTTGTAATTTTTCAATAAAACCGATAGTTTTCTAGTAAAAAATTAGATGTGTCATCGTTCACTAAAGGGGTAATTGCGAAAATTTGAAAAAATAAAGCAGGCGGATGTCAACAAATAAATTGTTATTTATCATATTAATATTTATCTGAAATAAAATTTAATACAAACGAAAAACAAGAAATGCAAAATTTTAAAGAATATTCTCGAAATAATTTCCATTTTGCTACAAGCATAACCTAATACGTCTGTTCAAGTTATAACGTACTCGCACAAACAGTTGTTGGTTATTGCGAAGGTCATCTGCTGCCTGAAATATTCTTAAGCATAGTTCTTCTAAAGAGCAACAGGAGTGGCATAAACAATACTTTTTATGTGTCCCCACAAAAAGAAATCCATAGGGGTTAGGTCAGGTGATCGTGCAGGCCAACAAACAGGGGGGGCACACGACCACGACCAATCCAGCGATTCGGGAAATTTAAATTTAGCCATTATCTAATGCCAAGTGCACTAAGATACTCGGCCGCTCCAAGCCTGTGTGGAAGAATAAAAGGACCTACTAGAGTATTTCCTACAATTCCCATCCAAACATTTAAACTGAAATTATGTTGACATCTTGAAATAAATATTTCATTAATATTTTCTTCCGACCTTGAGTGAACATTATGAGAGTTTACTACACCTACTCTAGGAAAATTTGCTTCATCGGTGAAAAGTATATTCATTAGGAAATTTAAGTCATGCCTGGAAATATTAATGTACCATTGACGAAAATCCACGCGATTAGGTAAATCAGGGTCATTCAATTATTGCACGGGACTGTCAGAAACTTGAAGTTGCCTGGACACCTGTCTTGTGCTTGTACCACGGTCTTGTTCTAGATGTTCCAGTATAGCTTCCTCAGTTTCAACAGTTCTGACATTACGCCTTCTTCCGGCTCCCTCACGATTGGGCTGAATTTTACCAGTTTCGCGAAGCTTTCTTTCCACCGAGGCCAATGTTTATTTATGAGGAATCGGTCGGTTTGGATATCTTTGGTGGTATAATCTTACTGCAGCGTTACTATTTTTTCTGGATTCGAAAAACACTTGGAGCAAGTCGACATATTCGTCATTGGTATAAATATTATTTGCCATAATTATTCTGATAATAAATTAATCAATTGGTACTAATTATTGGTTAACAGAAAGTGTCAATTTATTAATATAATAGTAATAAAAATTTATTTGTTGACATCCGTCTACTTTATTTTTAAAAATTTTTGCAATTATCCCTTTAGTGATTGATGACGCATCTAATTTTTTTTACTAGAAAACTATCGGTTTTACCGAAAAATTACAAGAATAAATAATTTGCTTCATATAAAAAATTTCTAATAAAATATTGCAATGGGGTTGACTGGTTCACTCCTTTATAAAATAAAATACGCCAATGAACTAACAAATATTGAAAAGTTGTGTCTTTATTAGTAGGATGCTCATACCAAGTTTCATGTCTTTAGCATTCCTCATGTTGAAGAAAAAAATTAAAATGTGAATTTCAATCCCTTCCTTTAAGAGGTTATATCGCCTCAGGGATGCAACTTTCATATAAGGTATTTTTACTTCAATCCTCTTATTTTTGGCTCTACATGTACTGGTACCATTTTTGCTACTTCATTTAAAAACATCTTGTATAGTACACTTTAAAAGCTGCAGTTGGTTTTCGCTCCGGCACTAACCTTGAAAAGGGGCATTTTGCATATACCAAGGCTTTTTTCGCTACGCAGCGAGTGGGGGGCTTTATCTCAACGTCGTCTTTCGAGTGAAATTTCCTTTTTTCCGGGGACTCCTCCGTCAAAATCGAAAATTTTCACTACGGGAAAGATGAAACCCAGCGGGACCGCTCACTATATTGAAAATTCGGAAAACCGACTGAATACCAGGTGTTCGGATCGCGGTGTGTTATTTTGCAGTTAGGCACCGTCCTAACCGTCCTGTCTTTCAATGACGACGTTATAGCCATCAAAATTCATTTAAACATTTACAATTTTGTATACACCCGCGGAAACCCAAAGTTTCAAATAGGATCCACCCACCGACCGCCGTAGCTCAGTTTGTAAGCTCGTGACTGTGAAGCCGAAGGTCCGCGGTTTGACTCTTGGGCGGATCTTTTTTTATTTTTACATACAGTAAAGTGCAGTGTTTCAAAAAATGTCATATTTACCAACCGGCGATGAGAGCCCCGCGTAGCGGTGCTCAGGCCGCTCAGGTCGGCGCATACTGACTTGCCTACGTTTCTAGTTTATGATGATTAAACATTTATTTTAGTTCTACCAAAATTTAAACTGGCATTTTGCGATTTTTCCAGTAACAACTAAGTACATAAAATTATAGTTCTTTGACTATTAAAAATAAAATAGACATATAAAGTACAGTGTAAACTCTTTTTAACGAATCTTAAGGGACCTGGGATTTTTTTTCGTTATAAAGAGTTTTTGTTATATGGAGTGCGCTTAAATTTTCCTAGCCAACCTTCTGATGCTTTAAAGTCAGTAATGCCTAGTTGTTCGGCAAACTTCTTAGCCTTGGCTTTAACAATTGGCCCCGAGATGGGTATATTATTCTGGCGCTGATTGTTAAACCACGACAACATTACTTGATCTAAGTCTTCGAATTTTGGCTTCCTTAATTTTTTAGTAGACTTCCTGCAGTTCCGCCTGTAGAAGTACTTCTTTGTTTTTCCAAATGGTAGCAACAGTAGATGGACTGAGGCCTAAACGTCTTCTAACATTTCTTTTCTCCGTTTTCTATCGCACGTATCAAACAAACTTTTTCGTTAACACATAACGCTTTTCTTTTACTGGCCATCTTGACAGTTTTAAAGTAGGTTTACGACTTATAATACACTATAGGTCCCTAGTGCGTTTAGTACCTAACTGAGTGCAAAATTTCCTAGAAACAATGTAATCCAAGAGTAATGGCACACGTGTTCGAGGCAATTAGCAATAATAAAAGCAAAGCAGTTGTTTACGACTTCAGGGTCTTTCTTATAGCTGTTTTACATTGACAATTTATTGATGAATAAATTGACGCAGTTCTTCATGAATTAATTCACGAATTTATTGGTAAACAGTGTGGTTTTACATTGTTACAGACTTTATCAAGTTTTTTTACGCATGAATCAGTTCTACTAACGAATCAAAAAAGCAAATAAATTTCAAAAATTTCACCTTTCCACTCATAATTGTAGTGATACAACAGCGGTATCGTTTTGACATATATTATATAAATATTAGTGTTTGTAAGTAACAAATCAGTAAAAACAATGAAAACTAGTACGACGCCACACAATTATTTACATATTCCAATAACATAACCTCATTACTGATTTGAGGGTGGAAATCTGTTGGGTTGGTACTTCCGAACTTCACAAAGAAATTGATGAAAATTAGAACATGCTTTAATTCGTCAAGAACTTGATGAATAAATTCATGAAGTTATTTGACAGCAGATGCATTACACTTGTCCAATTTCTTGATGAAGCGACTTCATGAATTAATTGATCAATAAATTGTCAATATAAAACAGCTATTAGAAATTTCGGCACCTCAAAGATTTAGTCTGAATCTTTTGTAAGCTGATTATAAAAACAATTACACTATTAAAAACTTCTGTAAATATTTGCTGGCGCCTAAATATGAATATATTTCTACGTAATAGAGAATGGCTGTTGCGCTATGAGTGTATTGTATGGGTTTTGACGTAAACCAACCAAATTGACCTAATTTCAATGTTACAGGAAGTTTTTCATTATAAAGAACGACGCTATAAATAGTTTACACTGTAAATGCAAAATGGACAAACTCCTTTTCGACTGAGTGTGATGTTCTTAAGACTGCAATGACTGAAATGAGTGTGATATACTATCTGTACTGAGCATTCACTCTAATACAGGGATGCACATACCGCGGCCCGCTGTCGATGTTTATGCGGCCCGCCAACGAATTTTAAAAGTATTCTACTCGCCGCGCTCCGGTCCAAGCATATTATTACGAGACTAGAAATCTATCGCATTAGCTAGATTACAGATTCGCGAAACACGTCGATCCCCGAACAAAGTGGATGGTTCTCGATGTTTGGTAACTCGTATAAATACGACACATCGCCGGCTACCGAGGCAGTTAAGTTTTGACTACGGATAAGCGAACGTTATACTGTTTGAGAACTGTAATCTGTGACGAGTAAATATTTCGTCGTTCGAACTTGGCTTTTACCGACTGTAACATATAATATTAATTTTGATATGGATAAACCAGGCCCCAGTAAGAAACGTAGTCGTAAGGTTGAAGATGAAAATCGACAGTTTCATGATATTTGGACCGAAAAATACTTTTTTATTTCATCGCATAACAAAATTGTCTGTTTAATATGCAAGAGTAGTGTTTCTATTCCGAAGGAATATAATGTGAAAAGGCACTATGAAACCCAGCATCCAACTTTTACCAAATTAACTGGCGAAAATCGAACGCAAAGAATTTCCACTTTACAACGGGAACTAATAGGCCAGCAATCTATGTTTACAAAACCAATTCAAGATGCTGAAACAGCCACTGAAGTTAGCTTTGAAATATCTCGAATAATAGCGAAAACTTGTCGGCCTTTTAAAGATGGTGAGTTTGTTAAGCAATGTTTGGATATCGCCGCAAAAAAAATTTGTCCGGAAAATGTAAAGAAGTTTGAAAAAATTCAGTTAAATCGGATGACTGTTCAAAGAAGAATTACCGCATTAGCAGATAATATAGAAGAGCAATTAGCTACGAAATCGAGAAGTTTTGAGTATTTTTCTATAGCGCTCGACGAATCTACAGATATAAGTTCAACTGCTCAACTATTAATATTTTTACGAGGTGTAACGCAAAATTTTGAAGTGAGTGAAGAACTGATTGGTATGAGTTCTTTGACAAGTCAAACCAGGGGAAGTGACATGCTCAAAGCTCTTCTAGAAAAATGTTCTATAATGGATTTGGATTTAACGAAAATATCTGGAATTACAACTGACGGAGCACCTTCAATGGTTGGAAGTACATCTGGGATAGTAACTCTGTTAAAAACATATTTACAAACTAAAAACATAAATACCAAGGAATTAATGCAGTTTCATTGTATTATACATCAAGAGGCCCTCTGTTCAAAATTATTGGGATTTGAAAATGTTATGAAAGTTGTAGTACCTACCGTAAACTTTATAAAATCACGAGGTCTCAATCACCGACAATTCAAACAATTTCTCGAGGATATTGAAAGCGAATATGGTGATCTCCTGTTTTACACTGAAGTAAGGTGGCTAAGTCGTGGGTTGACACTACAGCGATTTCTTAACTTGATTGAAGAAATCCAACTATTTCTGGCGGAAAAGAAAAACGACGTCCCCGAACTCGACAACCCTGATTGGCTGTGTGACTTAGCGTTTCTTGTAGACATCACAAATCACTTGAATGTCTTAAATACGCGACTCCAAGGCAAAGATCAATTGATTTCGCAGCTATACTCTCATGTTTCGTCCTTTCAATGCAAATTGAGTCTTTTCAGGACACAAATCAATTCAGCCAATTACGGCCATTTTCCGAACTACAAAAAAATTATGGAGAAGTTCAATAAAACTGACGTCAATTTCGCTCATGTTGAAAAAATTGATATTTTGATACAAGCTTTTGAAAATCGTTTTGTAGACTTCAAAAAAGTTAAACCGCTATTGGACATTTTCAGCAATCCTTTCAACATTTCACCCGAAAATGCGCCGGAATTAATGCAGCTGGAATTAATAGACATGCAAAATGATGATAATTTAAGAAACAAATTTAATGAAGGTAATTTACTCAACTTCTACCGTTGCGTTGATAAAAACGCTTATAAAGAGTTGCGAATAAATGCATTGAAATGCGCAAGCTTATTTGGATCGACGTATATTTGTGAACAAACGTTTTCAGTGATGAAACTTAACAAAACGAAAAACCGAAACCGTCTGGCAAATGAAAATGGCTACAAGTAATGTGGAGCCAAATATAAAAAAACTTGTTAGTTCAATGCAATGTCATGCATCAAAATAATTAAACATGAAATATTACATTGTAATGATTACATAATTATTACAACAAACATTATTGAAGTTTATTTTATTTTTATCATTGTATTTAATACTATTTAAAAATAAAAAAATTTGTGTTAATAAATTGTTTGTAGTGGCCCGTCCTTGGCTTATATTTTTCCCGAGTGGCCCCTGTTCCCTATAAGTCTGTGCATCCCTGCTCTAATAGGATCAAGAGATTTTTTATTCTTGGGTTATTAATATCGACAATCCAAATATTGTAAATCTACAAAATATGAAAAAATAAGATAAATTCTAATCTAAGAAAGTGAGCATCACAATTTTCTGTAATAACTGTTTTACATTGAGAACCCTGCTAGCAAAATCTTGCACAAGGTACTTATAGAAGACTGCTGTGTATCTATTGCCGAAATCAGCATTAGGTTTAATGCAAGATTCATTATGCAATTGTCTTGATCAAAGCTTTCAATGGATTTGATTCAGGGCACTTGAGCACAGAGGGGTAAATTAAAGCAAGTGACCATGTTGCAGATTTACATTAGAATTAAGTAAGACATATTGTACTTGACTTATACTAATTCACCCCTTTGGACTCAAGTACTTTTGGTTAAGTCTGGTGCAAGTATTGTAAAAATATCTTGCATAAGAAACGATATAAATTTCAGCTATAGACACAAAACAATCTGACACAATTTGGCTATTTCAAGTAAACTTGAAACAACTTGTATTAAAATTTCACACTATTGTGCTACCAGGGAATTTATTCTTTTTTGCAATTAATAACACTCGTTGCAAGCGCTCCGCTCGAGATCTAGACCAGCCATCAAGCATCCAATCCACTCTGGAGTTTATATACCTGTGGCGAAGATCTTAGGATCTGGATATAGTCAATTTAAAAAAAGCAGTGCCAAAATGATGAAGACAGAAACAGACAAATGGTGAAAAATCAAATCCCTAAAGGGCAAAAAGTGCTCAAGCAATGTAAGTATTGAAACAATTCAGAAACCCTCATGTCACGTATTCGTAGTAGGGTAAGCTTCTGACAACTCTGGTTACCCCTTTGTAGAGCTGTCGGAGGAGAGTCCCGGCAATGTTTGTTCATTAGAAGAATTTCGGCGTAAATGACGGTCATATTCAAAATAGAGGTATGGAAAAACAAATACACGACAAACTCTTTCCGCTATTTGTTTGCTCATTTTTTTTTGCATAAAAATTGTAATGAATTTTACTTTAGACAATAAGGTAATCAGTAATAAATAATGATTAAATGCGTAAATTGACAAGGGCGTCAATTGCAATTCCTCCTGGACCCTGACGGCATAAAAACATCAAAATTTGTGGACAAACCTTCGAGTATATACTACTGGATATAGCCTTCCAATGACTGGGAGTGGGCGCATTACAAGGCTAAGGGAGAGAGATAGCTGGTATGAAGGTCATGTTATCTCTCTCTCGCCAAATTTGATTGGCTATTCCTCTCACGTGGGATCAGTCGTGAATCAATCAGGTTCAGCGAGAGAGAGCAGCTATCTCTCTCTCTTCGCCTTGTAACGCATCCGCCCATTGGGGGGCTACTTCCAGTAGTATATGCTCGAAGGTATAAACCTATATTTGACTTTTGTCTGCAGCGTAGCTTATAAGGCATATAAAACGATTGCTACTAATTATTTAGGCTGGTAGAAGCAGAAGCCAACACATATTTACAGTAGACTACTAGAAGGCTACCAACAGCCAACAAGCGACTGGTGAATTATTCCAATGTGCCTGCGGTTTTACTGTAAGCTGTAAGCTCATATTTTTAAGAGCTTATTGTTGCTTCCAGTTGTCGCTTGGATTTGTTTTAATCTTATAGTGATGTCTTCTTAAATAAATACTGTTTAAAAAATTAGTAAAGCCTTTAATTTCAAACATTACATTCAATTATAAAAGAAACAAATTACAGAGGAAAGGCATCAAACACCATCAAGAGCTTGACAGAATTCATTAGCTTTTATTAACGCCCCCTTTTGTATATCAACAATTTCATTTAACAGACCTCTCCACTTTTTGGCGTAATGCTGTTTATCAAATCCATTTTCATCAGCCGAATTATATAAGTTACATGCCATGTCGTGGAAGTTAACACAGCTCTGTATAACATGCCGTTGGCTTTCTCTTAGTTCCCACTCCAAAGAAGACATTTGTAGGCGTTTTTCTTCAGCTCTCAACAATTCTTCGTCTATGTCAACATCTATGTTGTCTTCTGATACATCGTCTTCATTTATAGTGGCCGGAGTATCTTCCACATCTAAATTGTCATTAGCTATTAATTCTTTAACCTGAAAATAGTATTATTCAATTGGAGGAAAGAAGATATACAGTTTGTTCCAACAGCAGCTAGGGACTAGTTTCAAGTTGTCAGATATATTTGCCTACCTACATTTTTTGGTATATTCACTGAAAGTAAATTATATATTAATTATTGATTTGAAATCTGTCCCTGACTGTTGTTGACATAAACCTATTAGATTAACAATAAAGAAATGCCTATATGTAAATAAATGAAAAGGTCGTAGATATCTGAAGCCGCATACAATCTACTGAAATGCAAACTATTCTTTTTTAAAAGGCACGTACAGGGTGTAACTTTGAATGGGGGTCATATCCATGCAGATGCTACATTTGATCTTTAAAAATACATAAGTCCGTTTTTTTTCAAATTCTGTCGTGAAATTTTTTGAACCTGTTTTTCGCAATTTTCATACCCCACCGTTGGACAGGTTAGTGTAACCACCTTGAACACATACCCAAGCTACAGTATATGCTGTTGTAAAATTTCATATTTCTTAATCAGCATTTCAAATTTTCACCGATGTTTCTAATTTTTCCGTAGTCGCGTCCGATTCCGCTCGAACCATGCAACCATAACTGCCCACCGCGGTGGATACCGCCCCAAAAGATGGAGCGAATCGCTTCATCCATAACGACATGGTTATATTTTCGCAATTACCCCCTTTTTCCCGTCTCCACGTCCAAACACCACTCCACGAGGCTCTAATAACTCCGATGTCACAGCCTCCATCCCCAACGTTGTGAATTACATCTCGAGGACAAAAATTAGGTCCGAATTCGAAGCATCCAAAAATTTCTGATTATTATGAGTCTGTCATTAATTGAGAGGACACAGAGAAATTCCATAATCCGGAGCGACCGAAATTTCGAGAAGCCGTTATGGTTTTGGAAACTTTATTTTACCGGAGACTTGGAGAGCCACCCATCAAAACAAGGGATGTCGGTCACCTAAGCACAATGTGATCGAACGTCGACTAGGCATCTGCACTTCTTTAAGCAGGAGATGGATGCTTGCCCATAGTGTGTACTCGACACGTTTACGTTTATGTCTGTAGCGCTTGAATAAATTATCTTAGTATAATTTTGAATCAATATACATACACATTATTATTTATCTGCAAAATAATAAATAATTTTTAAATAAATAAAGATTTTTATATAAAATTTTTCATTTGAGTTGAACCACTTTAAAAACTTTCACTCGGGCTATCACGCTCAAGAAGCTTATCATAGCTTTCGCCTAGGTCACATACCTACGGCCCATACCCAGTAGGGTTGAACCCGGATCAAATCGTTCTGTCCCTATCCATCCAGATGCTGTGCGTCATAGACTTACACGGGGTGTCGCGGCACAGATTGTCGCGTGTTAGAAAATTTGAACTTCATGCATCACTTTTCAGCAACAGAAAACCGGGGGTAAAACATTAGCTGAGTATACTTTTTGATTGGTTAAATTTATTGTAGCTAGCGACAGTCGTAGTTCCGTGAACCCTGATATAAAGCCATTTTGTCAAATCACATCCATATCAGGTAGATTGATGTAGTTCATCTAAACTAGGCCAATGTGAGAAGTTATAGACACTGAGATTCACAAACTAAAGTGTTTTAAAAACATACTAACAAATACTTTATTAAAAACTTGACATTTAGAAAAAACTCGTATTCGGATTAGTATTTTTATTTTCCATTGCACTTTCGCTATAGTAACTGGGAATATTCTGATAAGTGCGCACATACAACCAGCTCGGGGCGGTGTAAACATTAATTTAAATGCAGTTCAAAAAACGAATTATAACTTATCTTTGTTTGCAAAGAATAATAATTTCAGATTGGTATTTAGGGGAACAAGTATATACTATTAATCATAAAAATTACTTAAGGTTACACCTTGTATATTTCAAATTTTTAAATTCACTCCAGGATAGTTAGTTTAGTTTTCTGATCTCGTTTAAACTTACCCTATCTGCGTATCGTAATGTATTTAGGGAATGGTCCACAGAAAAATTTCCTGGAGATATGAGAGCAATCATACATGTCCTCGATTTTTCTCCAATAAAGGAATCTCGCAGAACTTGGGTGAGTTTACTTCCTCTAAAAGGTAGATGGGCACCTTTTCTACCCAAGGCTCGAATACATTCTTTTAAGGCTAACAAACTTTTATTAATATCAGCCCCTGGAAATAGGAGTATTTAAAAAGTATTAGGTAGAGAGTCAAGTGTTTATAAGAATTAAATGTCTCTAAAACCGGAAATGAAGCAAAATCTAAAGTCTAAGAAGGATATAGATATTTGGAACATACCTTCGATTCTGGTCTGCCTGTTGGATTTACTGTTATCCGCACCTCTTTCATTACCGGCAAGATCAATCAAAGAAAATTTCCCATCAATATGTTTAGACCCGTTCTTCCTGAGAATTATTTGAAAGACTGCGTGAGATCTTGATGAGTTAGAGTTTGCTGAAGTCTGACCCGATGTTCTTTCTACGCTTCCTTTTTGAATGAGGTCTAACACATGTTCTACCTGAAAACAAGGTAATGTACAAAAATGTGAATGGTATATGTAATTGAATAAAAAAATATATATGTAAGTAGTGGATGAGGTGTGATGATTTCAAATAAATACAAATGTTTTTAAAAGAATTAACTACTTAAAATAAAAGTAAGACCAGAAGATCTTTGCCATTTTACCTTAGTAACGGCTCTTTCAGTTAGTCCGACGACTTGAACCTGCTGCTTTCCATCTTCCAATACTCTCAGTCTCTGTTTCTTTGCAAGCAAGTCAAATACCAGTTTTCCATATATTTCGAAAAAACTAGCTGATACCGTGTAGTTCATTCTTGCGTACTTTGGATGAGTGAGTAGTTTGAACACGTCGTTGGCAACCAAACCGTAGATGCCACTTTTGAAGTTTTGTTGTTTACCTAGAAGAATATTACTTTCATTTGGATATGTGAAGCCAATTTAGAATTTCTCAAAAGCTGTGTTCTGACAGTATACATTTATTGAATCATCGAAATTCAAATTTAAAAAACTGTGATGATTGAACAGTATCTCAAAATGACGGTTGCAGTATAATATTTGTTGTCGTTTTCTATATATTTTATCTATTTTATGCAAGATACAAATTTTCACTGTACACATTCCTTAATTTATTCCAAAAATTGATAAAAAACCTATAGTTCTAAATATATCCATCATCATCGAAAGTTGGGTTTATTGTTTTTATTTAAAATATTCCAAATATCGCGAAAAATTTATTTTTTTCGTTTATAATTTCATATAAACATGAGAAGTGATCAGTGCAGGTTCCTAGACTTTGCCAAATGTTGTCCAATGTTCAATGTTTTCACTTGGCTGCTTGGTTTAGTATAAAGATTAAGTTAGACAAAATTCAATAAGATTTACGAATACCTATCTTTACAAACAATGAATGAGATATACATAATTGTTTATTTTTTCAGAACAATCGGAAATGTTCTTAACAGCAAATAAACAACTAGATTTTTGTACAATAACTTCAATTCAGTTTTTTCATAATCACTGTTTACATTTAAAATTGCAATTTATGAATAAAATTCATCATATCGAATTATATTTCTATTTACACAGACTGTATGACATGATTTAAAACGTGGTTCAAATTTTGATTATGTAGTTTATCCTAAATGTTTATAAACGTATAACACGGCTTGCCGTATGCAGATAATGGGTATAGTATAGTAAAAGAATGCAAAAAGTGAATTATTTTGGAAAGCATTTGTTGCTGCTGTGAAACCAACCCTCTCCCTCGTTTTCGTATCCAAATTAGAGATCCGTTGATTTCTAATTCTGTGCGCATGATGACAGTAACCAAGAATCACTAAGATTATATATTTATTTAATGAAATATGATTCATGGTTTAAAAAAAGACGTATTTATTTTTATATTATGAGCGAGATTGATAATATTTTTGATAAAATAAAACTACAAAATACAGCAAACCGCCATGATTGGTTGAACACCAATTAGAGCGAATTACGTCACATCTATGTAAATGTCATTTTGTGTCATTTGTACTTCGACAATATCTGCAGTATTTATCTTCGTTTAAATATTTTGCGCTTCCCAACTATCAGTTGCTTAGTTTTGCGTTATCAAAATCATAATCAGAAAACGTTAGGTACTTGAAAAGTTTCTAAAACAAGGGAAGAAAATAAAGTCACCCAAAAAAAATATATTTCCATATTTACCTAGGGGTGGGGATACGTTTCCCGTTTTCTTAAATGCGATTACTTACAATATCATTTCAAAGTGATATACATATAGAAATACGTAGGCGGTATGAAAAGTTTACGACCACAACATGAGAAGGCGGCACTCGTTAACAAAATCTAGAGAATGTGTTTGCGTATCTTTTTGAGTGAGTCGATGTGAGTATTTCTGTGAAAATAAGAAAATTGGAATATCGAGCTGTCATCAAATATAACGCCTACGCAATTCAAAGACAAAGGGGAGATCGGCCCCAAAAAAGCAAAATCTGTTTTTTCGGCAGTGAAAGTGATGGCGACTGTTTTTGGAGATAGTTATGGATCTTCCAAAAATAAAAAACATTACATGGGCATTATTACTTGATAAGCTGAAGGCGTAAACAATTGTTTTGCAGAGAAAGATGCCGAGTACTATTTGGACGGGTTAAAGAGATGGGGGCATCGTTGGAAGAAATGAGTAGACAGACTTTAAAGGAGACTATGTAAGAAAATAAAAATAAATTTGAAAAAAAATGCCGTGTATTGTGCCTTGTGTTAGGTCGGAAACTTTTCAGACCAGCCACATATATACTAATACCAAATTTATACTCTAAATCCACTTATTTTGACCCAAAATATATATGGTAGTTTCACGTACACGGAATATTGGGACACCCTGTACAAGGTAATTGCATGCAACACTTGCAATCTCCTGGTTTTAATTGTTTTGGGTACTGTAGAAGAATGATCTTACCTTTAAATTCACCTCCCATAGTATGGGTCTTTCCGGATCCTGTCTGACCATATGCAAAGCACGTAGCCATGCCTCCTTCGAATATGGTCTTCACTAAAGGTTTGGCCGTGAATTTGTAAACCAAATCATTGGTACAGCTGTCATCGAAAACGTAATCGAAACGGAAATGCTGATTTTCCAAATACTTCGTCAGATCGACTTTATGTTTAGGTTCGTGGACGAGCAGCTGGTTTCTTGTAGGAACGGAAATGACGTCTACTTCTCTCCTGCGGATTTCTTTATCGTTGAGGGGTCTCTTTCTCACGCACACCGTGATTTGATTCTCGATTACAGGATCGGTTTCTCTGAGGGGCCGGAAGTCCAAGGCGGCTCTGTATTCGTTGATCATTTGGGCAAACTCCCAATAGGGGTTGTTTTGTTCTAGCTGTACCAATTGTTCCTTGTGGGCTTTTTCGTCAGCTTGGCGTTGGCGACGCTCGTCTCTGCTTTTGGCAATCATTTCTACCTTTAAAAATTGATACATATATAGTATCTATAGTAATATTAAAAAAATTAGAAAATAAGGATATTACATTAATTTATTCCAAATTACTTGAATTGATAAATGATGTTAAAGACAAAATTGTCAATAACAATTTTTATTTTATATACCTAAATTATTAGTTACTGTTGATTGAATATTGCTCATATAATTCAATACTTGTTGGGGCATGTAGCTTGTATTGTATGTATTTGTTTCCTTCAGTATCATCAGTTAAGAATCTTGTTTAGGAGGCAATACCATGCAAAAATTTAAATTTTGTCATGTCATCAGGAATGTTTTGTGACGTCATTTAGTGCGATCACAACCTGCTTCTTGGCGTTTGCCGGAACTTAATCTGAAGAAACACCCATGCGGGGAGCCTCAAAGCAAAGTGAATTTGTACTATTTAACAACATATATTTTGCGCGCTAAACTTTAATATCAAGCCCCACAAAAAAATGTTCTGTACCTACCAGAAAAATGAGTACATAGATTTTGTGTACTTTTTTAATGATAAATCCGAATCTGTAGTCTAAAAACCGATTTACCAAATTTTTTATTAAAATGCTAAAATATCCCCTAAAATAGGGAGAAATAGTGAGAAAACATTTTAAAATAATATTTTGAGCATTGGAAAGAAATATGTGCAAATTAAATCCACACCTACCCCTACGAGGTCGTTAATTCCATACCTACGATCAAATTATGAATGTTGTGTCAAACAATGTGAAAAACCATAGCTTTGTATTTTATACTACCAAATATATAAATGTAGGTAGATAGACAATATACCAAAAAAATGTAATATAACTTAGATAACCAAAGGGTTGGATCTACATACTAGGGTCCTACATACCCCTTTAAGTGACACGTTTTTCTGTTCAATATTTTTACCTGAATTTTGTTACCGCCAGTTTGTGGAGTCGCTGATTACGAATCTGAAGTTTAAATCCAAAAATTCATGAATAAAAGATGGCGGATGTAAAAATCGAAAGAGCATTCAAAATTTGAAGGTTATGGCTGAAAGTCGCCTATTATAAGGTTTTAATTCTTAAATCCAAAATGACGGACCTATTATGGAGAATTGAAAATTACCATAAAAATTGGTATTTACCGCCCAAAGAAATGCTTTATGAATGTTAAAAAAATTGAGTTATTTGAATAAAAATAGGCAAATGTCTAAAAATGAGAAACAAAGAATATAGATTCGATTTGCAGTATGCTGTTTCTTTCAAATACTTTTATCAATCGTAGCAAGGAGTGACAACAGCACATGCTTAAATATAAGACGCACGAAATGAGTGAAAGATTTTATAGCTAAAAATATAAATTTGATTAATCAAGTAACAAACTAAGATCGGAAGATTTTTTCTTACCTTTTTAGCAGCCTCAGATTTGTAGTCGTATACCGATTCCCTCTTCGATCTGGATGCTTTCTTCGGTGTAGGTGATTTTGGAGGACTGGGAGCCGGTGATATACTAGACAACAAATCTAAAATATAGATTAGATTTTATGTTATTTCCTAATAACTATTGTCTTTTAAATGCAGAGCAAGTGATCAATCAACTAAATCTTCTTAGTCTTTTCAACATCGTATAAATCTGTTTCATTAAAAAATAAGACACAGCTTAATTCAGTTTACAGAATACCCAAAGTTAAAAAAAAACACAAATGAAAAGTTAAAAAATAAATAAATAGTCAATAATTTGCTGTAAAGAGGACTCTTCATTACCTATCAGTTTAATTGGTGCAGTTTAATATTAAACAGTTCTAAAGCTTCTATGAGCTAAGATTAATTTCCATTTTTCTGAATTCGGTCTTATCACAAAAGTTACTTAAAATTTAGGGGGGGTTTCTATTTTTCTCGAAAATTGAGAGTGAGACGTCTTTACCACTTTTTGTCTAGATATCTCATCTCGAAATACGAAAAACTTCTAAAAGTACAAACCACACTCCACAACTTCATATGGAAACTCCAACTTAAGTTAAAGGAAACTCTCAGAAAATACAATTTCTAGACTATACGGAAAGCACATATCTACTAGTTCGTTTCGTAAACATTATTAATTATCACAGCCACCCAGAAAAAAAAAGTTGGGTATACTTTTTATGCGAAAAAAATTTATTTCCACATTAAATAGTACATTTTTATGTAAAAGATTCTGCTGAATTCAAATCCACTGTCAGAATTGAGCTAGAACGTGTGGTTTTTTTTCTAACCTCAAAAAACCGAGCAGGAATCGCTATTTTCAAATTCTGAGCGGATTTTGACCAGATTTTGTATAAAGGGGTTTTTTGGGTCTCTGATTACGAATATGAATTCACATTGTAAAAATTCAAGATGGCTGATCCAATATGGCGGGTGTACTTTTTTGTAATCCACCGATTTCAGTAAAATTTGGCATCATAAGGATTGCTGGTTGATCTCACCTTCATTAATCACATATCTGGAGCCAGATTTTCATAAATCAAGGTAAAATTTGTAGGCAGAGTCATAATTTTAAGCTGAGTAGGCGACATTTTTTCGGCAAAGTCACATTTTCAGATTGAAGGCATAAGCAGATGCAGTGATGTGCTGTGTGGCAGTAATGTGTCCATTTCCTTGAACTTTAAAATTATTAAGAAATAAAAGCATCTAAATGCCATAGGAAAACTGCATAGTAGTTAAAAAAATCTGATTGGAAAACCATAAGCCCATGCACGACTAAATAAATGAAAGAAAAAAGTAGAAACTTTTTTGTCTTGTCCCATTTAAACAAGTACATCACACTACACATCATTACATGTGTAGAGTCCTTAAGTCATTTTTTTAAGCGAAGTCACATTTTTAGACGGAGTGGCAACCAGCAATCCTTATGATGCCAAATTTTATTGAAATCGGAGGATTTCAAAAAAGTACACCCGCCATATTAGATCAGCCATCTTGAAATTTTACAATGTGAATTCATATTCGTAATCAGCGACCCAAAAAACCCCTTTATACAAAATCTGGTCAAAATCCGCTCAGAATTTGAAAATAGCGATTCCTGCTCGGTTTTTTGAGGTTAGAAAAAAAACCACAAGCTTGTAGCTCAATTCTGACAGTGGATTTGAATTCAGCAGAGTCTTTTACATAAAAATGTACTATTTGATGTGGAAATAAATTTTTTTCCAAATTTTCCCAGTAAATTTTCATCAATTTTCACTATTTTTCACAAGTTTTTTGAGGTTAGGAAAAAATTGTGACGTGATGGGCCAATTCTGACCCCAGATTCGTGTTCAGGAGGCCAAATTACTACGAAAAATATATGTCGCATAAAAAGTATACCCAACTTTTTTTTTCTGTGTGGCTGTGTTATCTATCTCGCTATCAAAAAATTAAGTCGAAATGACCAAAGAGACTATCAGGCGTGCGTACCAAATTATGTAAAGTGCTAAACAAATACACAATATTCGCTTACCCAAGAATGAAGCAGAGATTAAAGTGCCTGAATAATTGTTCACAAATAATAATTCATTTAAAAAATTTAGGTGTCACTTAAGGACAGGCTACTTAAGCAAATATTCTTGTCCGCTAATGAATATTCGTAAAATTTACTAATATTCGACTACGCAAGTGTGGAGTCAGCTAAGAAATTACGTATTCTTATTTTTCAGAAATGACCTAATCGCGGTTAGAAATACGGCGTGCCGTAGAGGCCTTATGTCACCCGATTCAACCGTGCTGTGATGTGTTGCATTCAGAAAAATGTTGTGCGGCAGAACCGCAATCCCAGTAACAAATTATCCTTAGAATGACAATGGGACATAAGTTGACATGCTTAGTTGAGGTGAAAATAAACAAATAGAAGCAAAAAGAAAACTAATTTGTGCTAGTACCTACCAATATTTAGCATTAAAAATTGCTAAGCTGTGAATCATTTCTTAAAACAGTCGCATACGTTACTTTGGTATTCAACCCATAGACAGCTTGTTAGCATTATTTTAATGGTTAAAAAATACTGTACAAAAATGTAAGTTTTCGACAAAAAATTAGACAAAAGTTGTTGCGTTTGACGAATTAAATACCTATGTAGTTAAAACTTTAACACTTATTTTTGGAGCACCCTGTATAATCTACACTTCTTTTTTGTCCAAATATTTACAGTTTGGGTAGGTATTACATACTTGCAATACCTATTTCAATAATAAAATAATAATTAGAATCTTATCTTTGATTTCAAAGGTATTTCAAACTCTTGTTATTATCATAAAGTTAATCTATGTTCTAATTTAATATGCAGTGAGATAAACAATCGATTGGGTTTTTTAACTTCTAATCGTTTTTACTCAAAATTAAGCAAACTAAGATAAGATTATACTTACACTACTAATTATAGAACGTAAAATTTTTTCTATCTACTGAAATCTACTAATCTAGGTACTGAAATTTTTAACTTAATTTGTGTTCGTGGAAATGAAGGTATTTTTGAGCATTTACTTAAATCAAATCATTAAAATTATGACTAATGTTATTAATTTCACTCTTTATTTCTTTATTCGAAATAACTGAATGATTAGTATTTATCATGTCAATTAAGTAAAAGTATTTTCAGTTCGTTTTTTAAGTTTTACTCGAAAATCAGGCTTTTTCGAAAAACATAAGACAGTAGTAATTTGTAGAAAATTGAAGGACGAATCCGAAAATATCATAATTGTTACCGTAAAGCAGTAGCGTACTATTTTATTTAGAAAAATATGCCACCGATATCCTGTACCTATCTCCGCCACTGGAGCATATAAATTTTAGGAAAAAGCCTCATATTTTGGACAATGTTTACATATATACATGTGCCCAATTTCAAATTATTTCACTTACTTTTAAATTATTTAAAAAATAAAAAACATTTTTTTTTAAGTTTAACACCCTGTATCTTTTTAACAAAGCGTCCTAGATAAAAACTTTATACGAAAGACTCCCCTTAAAATTCACCAAAAACTACGAGGTTTCTTTATTGGTCACCGTTTGTGAATCACCCTATACAAGGAATTAAATTGTTTTCTATATTACAAATTTTGCTGTAGAATAGTTTTCCACAATAGCATTGGCCCCTCATTATTCTAAGACCCATTTCTTAAATCTGTAAGGTTTCCTTAACTGATTTTGTTCAACGTTGATTTGTCAGTGGCTGGTCTGACGTGCAATGTGTCCCGTCTTTTTTTGAAAACACCTCTGTATTTCCGTCAAAGGTTTAATTTGAACTTGGTAGTTTTGTGTTAGAATTTCTTCATAGGCATCCCTATTTCAAAGGTATCACTTTTTCGAAATTAACATTAGTTTAACAGAGACAAACTGATAGAAAATTCTTTATCGATGTCCTAAAACAACCTTACTTATGATTTATCATAAACCTATCTTTTGTGCTTACAGAGATACAACACTGCAAACTATATTATTTGAACTTCCATGCAATTACTTGTATTTTTTCCAAACTGCTTTTAAATAATATTGCAGTAAACGCAAAATTATTTTAATTTAGTAGTTAATTTTAAAAGATAGTGAGGGGACAGAAACTAACAATTCACAATTATTAAACAGAGATAACGGAAAAAAATGTTTTCTTTACTACTCCGTCATTTTTGAATTTTATTATTTGCGGCAACTTTAATAAGTTGCGTAGGAGTCATCTGTTGACAAGCCTGTGTTATTCTTTCTTCTGGCTCGTCTAAGGTTTGGGGTCTCGTCTTATGCACATTATTTTTATGACACCCCAAAGAAAAAAAACCATTGGTATAATATCAAGTGACCATGGAGGCCATCGAATTAAAGGACTATTTCTCCCTATCCATCTATTAACAAACTTCTTATTAAGCCAGTCTCTGAATGTTTTACCGTTCTTGCTTAAAAATTGCAATTCTTTTTATGTCTTTGGGAAGTGCTTCAAAACGATTACATAGTACCCCGTCTCTGTGCATTAAAATTTTACCGAAGAAAATATGATCCGATAAATCGAGTGTATAAAATGCTACACCATAGCATCTGAATATTGCCTTTTATAATTTATAACCCAGTGATGATTATTCGCAGCTCACAATCAGTGTCTAATATTTTGATAATACAACACTATTGATTGTATGTAATTGTAGCCTCATCACGGAATAAAATGTTGCTTATTAGTCATTTAGAAAATTTCTTTCAATCCAAAAACAGTAATTTAATCTCCCTCCTTTATCACAATGAGGAAGTTGTATCAAATTTTCTTTTGGTGCAAAATTTATTTAAAATGCAGAAAATTACTATAAAAGTATATTTCTATATGTAAAACCCCTTTAAATTGAACTATTAATATGTAATGAATTATTGAAATATTGAATATAAATAGGTGGGCGAAAACGGTCTCTAATTGATCAAACAACTTGCCACGTCAGGATCCAATATACAGGCTGTTACAAATTCCCTTCTCACTACAGGGATCTTGGAAACGATAAGAGATACGAAGTAGCTTAAATGGGGGCAATGTTGCATAATCGGGGGACCAACAATATGCCTCTAAAAAATCAAGGCTAACATGATTAGTTTTCGAAATATTTGAAAAAACCTAAATTTTGGAAACCTGTTTTTGTTTCATATCAGCCTTGTTTGTGGTGATATTGAAAAAAGAACACTTTCTCATGGCAACTTTTTGCCCTCTATCGAATGGCATAATCAATTTTTATATGTAACGTTTCATCTCTCCAGGAACATCATCAACTTCATTTTTTTAAATATGATCGTGGAAATTTTATTACATTTTTTGCAGGCCTTCATGGCCCCCAATACTGTACTGCCTCCGAACTAGATTCAAACGTTTTGTCTCGAAAAATTCATCTTCAATGTATTCGTCCCTTTATCTAAATTTTTTATTTAGATTTCTATGTTTATTAAATTATGGTACACTCTAAGTGTCATTAGACCCTGTGAAATCCACCTAGTTATTTAAACTATTACCCTTACACGTTACAATAAACCATTATATGTAATGAGATAAGTTTGTTTACAGGTATACGTACGAGTATTAGTATTCTATTTTTTCTTACACCCTATTTGATCGCTTTTTTTTTTGGTGAAGGAAGACAGAATCTATTGTTTTATAAATTTTTAAATGAATTCAAATTTTCGTAATTTCGGAATAAGGTAAATGGACAAATACTCTAGAGCGGTTAAACTTGAATTACTTGCAAATGTGTCAATAGTTTTTAAAATGGCAACAGCTCTTTAAAAAATAAATTTAAAAATTAATTTAAATGCCTTAGGGCCGGTTTTTCAATATCTGGTTAACTAATTGTTACTTTTTGTAATGGAGATTTCATAGATTAGTAAAGAAAAGAAAAATTAAACATGAATTTATAAATTCATTATTTGTTAAAAGCTTGCATGTTAACAGAACATTATTGCTTCTTCACTAAAACATGAGAAAATAAAGTGACAGTTAACCCTAAGTTAGGAGTTAGCCAACGATTGAAAAACCGACCCTTAGTGAATGAATATGAAAGACAGTGTTTTAAAATTTCGTGAGAATTAGTGTTTTATTTATGTAAAATAACTGTTTTAGTATGATTTTCTTAAAATTTACCTACTTACTTTGACATCTTGGGGAGAGAAGACCAGTGCTATGTCTGCTCGCGAGGTTGTTCCCATTCCTGTCTTCTTCACAAGCTCTTCTTTTAGGAGATTCATTTCTTGGAGATCTTCGACCCTCTCGTTCTTCAATGAGGTACGGAAACATTTTTCCTCCTGTCAAAAATTTTTGTCAGTTTTTGATGGTGTCAATTTTTTACCTGATTTATTGTAGAGTACCTATCAAGTTATTTCCCATGTGGTTACTGGAATTTACTACACTATGTTTATTTTTCGCGCTAAGGAACTTGTCACAACAGGTTAATTTTGCACCGACGACATCAGTTATCTCCGAATTTTTTCTATTGTCACAAATGTTAACCTTATCATTTTTAGGTGTCAGATAGAAAAATGTCGGCAATTTGAAAAACATTTCTTTTATTATTATGAAGCACGAGATGATTAACACGACAATAAGCATTGTAACAGAATTGTGCTATTAAGTAATATGTGCACCGCATTCTGTTTGACCTTAAGAGAAACCTCTTTCGAGAATGAATAATTTCTATTAAATAGGAAGTAGGATGTAGGTGGCAAAATTATGTTTCTGCTATTTGCGTCGTATTATAAAAATTATAGCAGTTAATGTTTTGTTGACAAGATAATTCAATATTTTTAACTTGCAGAAACGATTTTCTTAAAATCAAAGATTTACTTACAGATTTACTCGTAATAATCATCTGTGCTTCGATGAATTTGTTGATGAAATAATTAAGTATACAGGGTGTCCGCAAATTTCACTGACAACGTTTGACTGCATATTCATGACGATAGGTAAATACGATCCACGAACAAAAAAGTCAAATAAAAAAATTTTGGTTTTTGAGTTACACGTCTTCAAAGTTGTCAGAAACAAAACTAATTAATTAATAACTTCATAACGCTTTTACCGATCGCGTTAAAATTTGGCACATTTATTTGGACTATTACGGCGTACTATTTTTTAAATCTTTAGTTAAATCGATATACTGGGTGGTAGTTTTCTCCGGTTACCTCCCCCTCTTAGCGGTCAAAACTTTTACAGTGGTCGTATTTTTTCTAAACGGGCATCAACACTGAAAAGGCCGGTTTATTTAAGAAAAAAATTGTCCCTTGATAAAATCGTCTACAGAGAACCATTCTTCAGAAAAATTTCATTATTTGCAGGTCTGCGTGTTTCAGTTTGCGTAGCAGTGTCGCGGATTTAAAACTTTGAGTTCAGTAGGCGATGAAAACAAAATGTTGATTGCTGTAGCCAATATGAATAGTGAAAGGGGCGGTCATTTGCCTTCAGTCATGAGAATAGAAATCGCGCTATATTGATTTGAAAAGGCATTATATTTCTCATTAGGAAATTGACTCTTTTTTAGTACTAACATAACAATTAAATATTAAAAATATGAAAATATTTATTTTTAAAGCTTCATTAAATTTTTATACTTTATAAAATAATGTTTGTAGGTATATGAAATGTTTTTTAAATATGAAATAAATAGAAGGCAGTACTAATTTATTATTTTATTCGAATAGATAAGGACACAACTACAATTTTCAAGAAATAATTTGTGAATATTAATATTAATTTCTTTTTTGGGGATATATTAAAGATTTCATTTATTTCAATTTACTGAATAAAATGGAAATGATCGTCATCATGATCAGCGATATTTAATTTGAGATAAATTTAACATATCTAAAAAAGTTGCAAATCTCGTACAGCGAGCCCCAAATCAAAATATGAGGTTTCAAGCTAAAGTGTTTTTTACGATTCCTTTCTTTAACTGTTGTTTAGTTAGTGTTGGTACCATATAAATGAAATTTTTCATAAAATCCCAAAAATTAAAGTCTAACGTCAACTAAATTGACGTCGCGTATCCAAAAAAGTTACAATATCTCATAAACGAGGCTCCAAATAAAAATCCTACACGAGTGAAAACAAAATATAATAAAACGCCGCTTTATCTAAAAAAAATATTCGAAAAATATAGGCGTCCTCAAAGAAAAATAGGGGTTCCATATGGGTATTGCAACCCCCCTCCCTTCCATTCGCACTTTGATATTTTAAACCAAAATTACACAAAACGTGTGTCCACTTAAGATCAAAATTTGTGCTAAATTTCAAATAAATATCTCTACAATCACCGGAGTTATCAATAAAAATAATTTTTTAAATTTTAATTTTGACATTCTGTAGTTTGAAAATGAAATGAAAAGTGGCATAAGAAAAGTCCCATTATTTTAGTCCAAAGAATATGTGGTTAACTGCTTGACCTACTAATTTGCAACACTTTAGACCAAAGATGTAGTTCATACAGATTTAATACTGTTCAGCTAAATTGCTTTTGCTCAGGAAGTATCTGATCCTAGTACAAATTATGTATGCGGATGGCGCAATGGATTACACGTAGAACTGTCAAATCTATACAATAAGACAAAACTGCGTACTAGATAGACCAAATCGCGAAATATTCTGAAAATGCCTTAAGTTACGTGACCCTAGACTAGTTTTATCTCACTTTACATGTTGTCCCATGACCTCTCTTTCAACATTCCACCATTAGTAAGTATACTATATTAGATCTATGGCTGTAGCTATCAGGTATTGTAATTATTATCATTTGCTCTAAGTGACAGCGTATTGTTATTCTACTTTTATTTTAATGTTAATTGATTTTGCCAGTTTTTTAAATTCAGTCCATTATTCCATATCATTCCCTAGGAGGAAGTTTTTTTAGTAATACCGTTTTACTAAACATGGAATATTCGTTCAATGAGTTTGCCGACATGTATTTAAATTATTATAGGGTGCAGGATAAACTGTCAAGAACTGTCGAACTACTGCACTATTGTACAGTGAAAGATTCCCCAATCGTCGAACATCTCACCATCCTACGTTCGCTTCGATTAAGATTACGAGACTATGATTCTTTTAAAAACATAGGTACTGTAAAAGCCAGTCGTCTTTGTCAGTTGTCACCTGAAGTAGAAGAAGAAATTCTTAATGTTATCGAAAATGAGCCAAGAAGAAGTGTCCGCAGTGTATCAAGACAATTAAATGTATGTAAAACTAATGTTGACACTTTACTTTAAAACAGCAACTTCTTTGGCCATTTCATTTAACTCATGCTTAAGAACTTGAAAATTTAAATCCTAACGTTTACAATTTTGCCGCCGGTTGGTGAATGGCTTCACAGAAGATAATAATTTGCTTCAAAAATTGTTTTTACCGACGAATCTTGTTTTACAATAAATGGAGTTGTAAATTTTCATAATTTGCATGTGTGGAGTAATGATAACACGACAATAATGACATTATAGCCACATCAATCAACATTTTGTTTTCATCGCTTACTGATTTCAAAGTTTTACATCCAAGACACTGCTACGTTAATCGAAATATACCGGGTAGGAAAGTACCGATGGTCTATCTGAAGTTACGTGAGAGCGATAAAGTAAGCCATAGAAATCCTTGTGATAGACAAGGATTATAGCCATCCTTCTCTATCGCATGGATTTCTATGGCTTACTTTACCGCTCTCACGTAACTTCAGATAGACCATCGGTACTTTCCTACCCGGTATAGACCTGCAAATAATGTAATTTTGCTCAAGAATGGTCTTCTGTAGGCGATTTTCTCAAGAGACATTTTTTTTAATAAAACGGCCTTTTCAATGGTTTGTCCATTTAAAAAAAAATACGACCACTGTAAAAGTTTTTACCGCTAAAAGGGGGAGGTAGTCGGAGAAAACTACCACCCTGTATATCGATTTGACTAAAGTTTTAACAAGTAATATGCCATAATAGTCCAAATAAATTTGTCAAATTTTAACGCGATCGGTAGAAGGGTTATGAAGTTATTAATTAAATGAGCTATATTTTTTAAACATTTGAAGGCCTGTAATTCAAAAACCAAACATTTTTTATTTAATTTTTTTTCTTAGATCGTATTTATCTTTTATTGCCGTGAATATGCAGTCAAACTTTGTCGGTAAAATTTGCGGTCACCTTATATATTTTTTAAATTAAGAATTGTTAAGATGTTGACAAAATGAAAACTAAGAAAAAACTAAACTAAACTGAACTAGTAAAAGGTAAGAAACATATTTTAATCTCAGAAGGGTAACACACAATATTTTTCTAGTTGTTTATTGCAAATAAATAATTTACATATTCTTCTATTTATTGAAAATGTTATACAATCCTAAACGTATCCGATTATCCAAATTGAAAACTGTCAAGGAATCGATCAAAGCGCATTGCTTTATCCAAAGGATAAATTTATTTAATTTTTGGAATGTAAATGCTCAGAAGTATTTACCTACTTCTATTTCGATATTATCTGTTAACTTGATAATAAAATTCCTAATTTCTTTTGTTCCGTTCGCACAATCATTTGCATCTAATCTCAAATTTTATGTTCAAGCTTATTTGTGATCTTATACAGGGTGTGTCATAATATCATTAATTTTAACCACGTATTCGTAAGGTCTAATAAAGGTAGATAATAGAAAAAAAAAATACTCGACCTTTTAAAAAATAAGCAAATTACCCCTTAACTCCTGTTAACTTGGCGTCCTGCTTCGTTCGAACGTTGAAGCGAAACAGCTGATTTTCCCAGTCCTCTTGAACTTTGCCATTGGTTTACTATTAAAGTGCAGCGTATCCCAACATAACAAAGTGCTATGGACGGAGGAGTGGGTGCATTTTTAGCCGTACTGTCACTTTAAATAGGTAGAAACCATACTACTCTTTGAAAAGCAATGCCACAATATAAAGTATACGTACTACAAACTGAATAATTAATTGAACATAATACTAAATACACTTATGCAGTTATAACACATAGTGAAAACGTTAACAATATTAAAAATACTAAATTGTAATAACTTAATATTCGAAAACAATTCTTATCCGTATACATTTGTTTCATTAACAAGTAAATAGTAGGTAGTTGTTAATATTTAAAATGTAAAAAAATATCTTATTCATTCTAGGTAAAAAGGTTTGTCTTTGTTATTCACTATTAAAAACACAGTAAAAGCTAGGTTAGTGACCAAATATGTTAGGTCAAGATTCACTCTCGATAAACATTTGTAGGTCAGCGGTCAGGTGCGGTCCGAAAAGGGGTTTAAATAATGGTTTGAAATTGTTTTTTTTTACGGTAAATATGCATTTTAAAATTTCTTTAATCGGGTATTCGTATTTTACTCATTTGTTTCTATCTTCCCTTAAAATTAATGACATGACTGAATCACAGTGGAACTAAAAAATTATCTCGAATTTTTTTACTTTTTTACTAACAAGTATATCAATTTTACTAAAAATACAAACGAACAAAAAGTTAAGATCATATTTACTTCATTGATAAGATGTGACTAATGATGAGCATAATTATTGAAATTTTTTATTTTAATTTGAAAATATCAAGAAAATGTGATACTTTTTAACTTACATTCTGTAAATTG